CTCTCTCTCTCATCTGTATGACCCCCTTCCCATTCCGCCAGCATAGGGTCGCAAACCGGGCATGCGCCTGGTTAACCTCCCTGCCTTCTCTCTTGTTGTTTATCTCTCCCACTTCATAACGTCTTGCTCAATAAAAAATTAAACAAATTCACCGTCTATCCGCATGCTTCGCATAACATCAATTCGTGGAATCGATGTTATGCAGGTACGTGGAATCTGGCGATTTTTTTTTTCTGTCTGCAGTGGGGCCAGTTCGCATTACGTTCACAACAGTTATAACTATACGTTAACAACAGTTACGTTCACAACAGTTATAACTATCGCGAAGACCTGCTGCCCGCGGAATAGTCAAGGGTTGAAAGTGTTATCACTTTCATTTCATCAGCGTATACGTATATAACTACGAAAGGAAGCAAACAGAGGCATGGAGCTACACTTTTGAAACATCGCAAAGCACAAGTGTGGCGTGCGTGCAGATTGTGTGCATTCGCGGCGGAAAGCGGAAAGCGTAATTGCCGCTTGGCGAGGCGAACGTGAAACTTGCGCAGAAGTTGTTTGCTTCGATGAAACTGCATGCCTGGTAGGTAGACTTGAATATCTTATGTTTTAGCGCAAGTAAACAGACTGTTTACTCAAGTCCTTTCAGCGTTCTCGTGCTTCCTTGCGCTAAAACATAAGACGCGCGGTTTTTTTTTTCGTTCACTTTATGCTCATGCCGTAAAGTGCGGTAACCTGCTAACGTGCTCCATGTTCGTCGTCTTTTACAAGCCGGAAGAAGTGTCCCAAACCACGTTGAATTCCGAAAGTTTTGATGAGTCGTTGGCATTGTATCGTCCTCATTCGTATTCACTGCGTCGTCGATCGGCAGTTCTCATTGTGTACCACCATGTAACGGTCGAAGTGTCTTTAATTGATTCCAAGTTCCGCGCGACCACTAGTTCGTTCTGTACTCTTCTGGTTGGCAAATAAGGTTATTCCATTTTCTCAGAACAACGATGGCAACGTATCTGAATCACTTCATGATATTTGCGTTCACGGCGCAACACATTCACGACGTTGCCAGCAGCATCCGAAAATCCAATTATCCTGGTCGTATACAATGACGGCATGATGGCGTTTCTTTACGCAATGGCCAAGAGACGGCGCTGCTTGATTGAAAAACTTAACGTTGCTTTTGTCGCCTGCGCATTTAAGTGACCAGTATACATTGTTTGCCAAATAACTGTTCCAACGTCTTCCACGTGCATATTACTGAAAGTTACATGCTTCCGGGGTTTTTTTTCTGTTTCTCTTGTTTTGTTTTAGAATCGGACAGAATCACTACGGTGTCTCTCAAGCATTAACGATATGTATGATTAGGTGTAGTTGAAGGACGACCAGCGTGACTGTATATTTTTAATTAATCAAGAATATAATTTTGTGCTTCTCTTATGGGCTTCGAATCGTATATCTATCTATCTATCTATCTATCTATCTATCTATCTATCTATCTATCTATCTATCTATCTATCTATCTCGTTTCGTTTCTGGGCTTCGGATAATACCGTCTGTTTGTCTCTCTCTGTTTCACGCACACGAATACATGCATGCGTACCGTGCTCAGGCGCCCAGAAATAATAGGCGACAAATGACATCGTAACAAGTCAACACGTGATGAGAATTCCTCGAGACTGGCGCCATCGTGTCGCGTCGCGAATTTTAATCAGCGCCTCGTGTCAAGGGTGTGTGCGCTCGGTCGAGCAAAGGCGACAGCTAGGCAAGGCGTGTTCGCAGCCGGCTCTTTGAAAGTCAAGGAGTGAAAAATTGAAGAAAGCCTTAGCTTTAATGTTTCTCTCTGTAGTCTGTCCTCCCACGCACAATAATCTTTCAAATTATCGCCGCAGCGTTTTGCAGTAACCAAGGTTATGTGTACAGCCACACAGGAAAAAATAAATACAAAATAATTAATTATTCACCATTCGAAGACGCCGACAGAGCACAAGACCTATCTGTCACGTGTGATGTATAAGGCTCTCCCAGTCCCTCCTTCCCAAATTCCATATTTTAAAAAAAATTACGGCATATTCACGGGGTGAATGATCATGAATGGGCGAAGCTCCGGAGGGATTCATCGGTAAACTGTGAATCTTCCATGTAATTCGCCCAGTCGATCATCATGTAAAGACGTGAGAAACGCTGGGTGTGTATATACACAAATCAACTTTTATTTGTTCTTAGACGATGGATGGCTTGCGATGTCCCTTGCCTCGCGCGCTCGCACATCGGGATTCTGTCTGCGAGCGCGCGCTGCTGCCGCCTTGCGCTCTCTCCGCTGTGCAGCCTTATCCATCCGGCGACTCCGAGTGCGCGCCAACAGCGAACGGATTTATTACAACGCTCCCCCTAGCGTACGTCGCCGCACTAAATCGAACGATTGCCTTCAACCAATGACACGCGCCATATGTGACATCATTCCTATTTTATAAGATCTCGCGTCTTTCATCAACTACAAGTACCGCTTTCTAGTTTATAACATCTTGCATTTTTTCATCATCAGCTACAAGTACCACCATCTAGTAAACACTACAAGAACTAAACGAGAGGTGGCTACATACAGGAGACGGTACCGCCATCTAGTGAACACTGCAAGAACTAAACTAGAGGTGGCTACATACAGGGGACGGTACCGCCATCTAGTGAACACTGCAAGAACTAAACTAGAGGTGGCTACATACAGGCTACAGGGGACGCACAGCCCACGCCCTAAGGAGCTTCGCCCCTAAAAAAAAAAAAACGCCAGCCCTGCGCGGAGCGTGCAGCACAGTCACAGTGAAAGCTATAAGAGCGGCCATTCAGACCCATTTCTAAACACTCTTTTCTAAACCCACTACGCCATAAATAATCATAATTTTTGTGAAGTAGGCCAGCATTAATTTATCTATGCTATCCTTCGTCGTTCTTCGTAGAATGGTAATATCCGCTACACACTCGCAAGGAATTTAGTGCATATTTTTTTTTAAGCAGTGGCTGACGACGATGAAGAAATGGGTATGTGCCACAGTTAACAGGTGATCAAGAACAAGTTCCCTAATAGGTTGGGCATCTTTTATTACTCATACTAACGCCATTTCTTTCCTGACATCAAGCCTGTCAAGGCAAGTTTCAACCACGGTCTAACCACGGTGTAAGAATATAAGTCAACACTCCATTCCCGTTCGCCCCGGTGATGGAAGCATCGCAAGCTGAACCCGCGGTAGACTCCACCGCAATGCTGGAGCGCAAGACGCGAAAGCATCGTGCAGAAGTATCGCACCGCTGAGATTCGACCGAGCGTCGTGATAGATTGCTTAAATAGTATCTTCATTGCATAAGCAAGTGATACGTAATAAAAATTCCTTCATTGCGAGACCGCAACGTTTCGTTGACTTGTTTCTCTTTATATCATCCCTCCACTATTTGATAGGGAACCCGCTGCTGGAAACTTTTTGCGTGGGGTACGTTTGGGAGGGGTGGGCACTCAACTGCTCCTTTTTATGTGTGTTCGTGTATCTGCATGTATGTCTGCACGTACGTATATACACACACGCAAAATTTAAATATTTCGGAAAAGGAGTGAGGGCGCGGTTGAATTCCCCAAGGAGATTTATTTCTCTACCTCCGCTCTGATGGTCTCTATTTGAAGTCGAGATTTTGACGGAAGCCCGTCTATCACGGTCTCTGTTTCGCCTTTTGATTACCCTTCCATATAGTATCCACGTTGAAGTGCAGTTATTCGCGCTCTCTAGCTACTTATACCAGAGTCATTCAATGCACAAAACTCTGCGCTTTGCTCAAGTTTGCAGATTTGTGGCGCCATCTAGCATGCAAATGAGTCAACAAAACCTCATATTACCACGAGCGGGCTGCGTGTACTACGATTTATCAATAGACCTCTCAGGTACCTAAAGAAGGAAGTCGATTTTTCCTGATCAGAACGCTCAGCACGTTGGTTGAGCATATGAGTGTGTTAAATAGTGTGTTAAATAAACACTTGCAAGTTGCAATCCCCTGAACACAACGTCCCTAAACACACCGGCCCTGCCTCTCTCCTTCTCCCAGGCCTTCCTCTGAAAAATTTCTGGCGACGCTCGCACTCTACCTTTGTTAAGGCATAGCCTCTAAAATCACAGACGTGCAACTTTGAAGCCTTGCAATTTCGAAGGCCTCGCCACGCGTTTGCAATCTCGGAGGTCATGGTCAAAGGAACAAGGAGAGAAACAGCCGTGATTAACAGATAAAGCTACCTGGTGTGTTCAGAATATTAGTTATTTTGTGTGAGGATCACTTTTATCTTCATTCTTTTCATTTCTTGTTGCTCGCCGTAGCTATTGGCCGATCGGGGCAATAGGGAAATTTTCCGGTGGGGAAGCCAACGTGCTTGGACATTTCGCGGACATTCAACGGCGAATGATATATTCCCCATAAAACGAAGAGCTTTGCGCTCGATTTAATAAAATAAAAACCGCCGCATCGGAAGCCCACTTCCCGGAAACTTATATCACATCGTGACAAAAGTGCGGCTTAGTCGATACCAACGTTTTCAGATCAAATGATCATACCGCGATTCAAATACTCCCGCCTCGTAATACATTGATGTAACCCTGGATGTAACCATGGGGTTCACTTGTGGAAAACACCATGTGACGTAGTGCCACAGCACGCTGTTAGCTTACGTCCCTGCTAGCATACCGCAACGTCACACCAACCACTTTAAAAGGGTCAAGGGTTGAACAGGCTGAACGTAACCAATGGCGGTCAAGTGCTCTGGGAAAATGTTGACTCTGTCTGTGTAAATCAGCTCTATGGCTTTCATCACGGAGGCTGCCAGTCATGGAGGATGGCTGCCAGCGCTAGATAGCATGAAAGTCTATTCTACGGGAAAGCCATCTCTGTATTCCATGGATTGTTTGCTTTTATGGGACACTGGGCGGCGCTTGCATCGTTACAACGAGCCACCCCATGACGTTTTCAGCAGCGCCGCCATCTGCCGGTCTTCATCGCTAGCACTGTAGCGTTTGGCGCCATTGGAAGTGACAATTTAATGTGTTCGTCTTATTGTGCATGATTACTTCGCCGCTGACCTTCGAGTGCCTGCTAACAATCAAGCTTAAAGAGGCCGACCAGTTGAGAGCATCGACTCAAAACATCCGCAGCGACCATTGGCCTACTTGGTGAGCGGTGGTGGTTTAAGCCTAATGGGGTATCTCCGGGCATCAACAAACAAAAATCGCGTCTTGTAGACATCGGTGACGCTGAGTGAAACGGCACGATCACAGTGTTTGTCACGGTTGCATTGTGCACGGCATGCGTGCTAGGCTCGTTTACCAACGTCGGGGTCACTTCCTTTTGTTTTCAAAAGACACTGTACTTCCCGACTCTTCCATGTTGCGTATCCGCATAATCTTGCGTAACGACGGACACGCGTTCTATCCGATGCCCGTTCGAGCGGATCAGCGGTGATTATCGCCGGTGGGCGCTTTCCATGATGTGCACGATATCGTTGGTGCAGCGAGACGATCGCTGCTGACTTACTTGTTGCAGGCCGTGCATTGGAAGCCCTGCGTTCGGTACCCGCTCCGAGCTGCGGCACGATCGGAAGTTTGCTTTGCATTATCCTATCTACGTCGACCCTTTACGCAGCACTGAAATGCACGCTTAGGCCCGCGGATTTGCAAAGCGCATTCCATAATGCTTTGTGCAAGGTAGTTTGCTAGGATTGCGAGCGTCGGCTGCTTGCCGCTATCCCAAAACAGTTCGGCCCCGTTTTGACGCGATCGCTCGTAACGGTTTTGTTGTTTTTGTTGTTGCGCTCGGAGACTACGGTGCTGCATCGCCCTTGCACAAAGTCGTGCTGTAGCTTTGCTGCTGCGCTCGAGAAGGTTTGCACTCGGCACGTACCACTCGCTAGAATCCGTGCCACCTTCCTAGTTTCCGTCAAGTCGACGCCGGATCTGAAACTGCCATAGCTGTCAAAATAACGCATATCGTGATTTTGTAGCTTTCTCGTTTTCTAACTACAACAACGATGTTTGATCTTACTGTAGTGAAAAGCACTTTTGCGCAACCTGTTAATTTGTTAGTGGGCCCTGAAGGCGGCATACCACCGAAATAAGGTTGACGGCTGCCATCAGATGTTGCTGGCGAGCGTCTTTTGTGACGAAAGGGCAACCGCGTTATCGAAATATTCAATTTCTGTGCGGCCGTGTAAGCCCCCTCCCCCAACTCTTCTATACACTCTATTCATTGTTTTTGCATACTGTAAGTCACCTTGTGCAAGATATCTCACGACATTGCCTCTTACATTGCATATGGAATGGCAGTACATGTTGCAGGCAACACTGTTGACGATTGTCACACAGCACGCATCGAATTCACATATTTATCCATGTTATGTGAAAGCCTCAAATTTTTGCCAGAGTTCAGAAATTAAAGTCGCCACCATGTGATGATTATTTTGTATGCACGTGTAGTGTGAAGGCTGTAAGCTGATTGTCTACTGGCCTTTAGTTGTTCTCGTCCATTTTATTTTTATTTCATAATTACAACATTTAAAAGCTACAACTAATGTCCCCTATGCTTTTCGTGGCTTCGCAGTGTGTTGGATTAGCATGCCGGCATCCAACAAAAAAATTTGTCCTGCAATCCATTTCACTTCTTACGTACGTGTGATGTAGGAATGCCATTTGACAGCGTGCATAGACAATTACTTATATTTTTTGGTTGCATTGTTCCCAGACACGTAAAAGTGTATGTTTTGTGTGGCAGTTGGAACCTGCTGTGCTACGTGTACGTGCAGCAAAAACCCGTCTTTGAGGCATGTAAGCAGTGTTGGCTTAACTGAAACCCAGTTATAGTTAATCTAGTTGTAAATGTCACATATAACATAATGTCTCCATATGTATTTTTTTTTTTCACTTCATTGTATAATTCATTGTATTATAATGTATGTTAAAAACAGACCCAAATAATGTCATTATGCTGGAATGTTCACTCTTTTTTTTTTAACGTTGCAGCAATTTTTATTTTTTCTGGCCTCTAACTTAATTGGCACTAGCCTCTTATTTTACCACATTGAAAATTTTTCCAATATGTACAGTTATGCCCACGCTAGGAATATGTTTTTTGTGTGATATTTGATTGCATAATATATACTCCAGAGCTTTTAAGCATGTAAAAACTAGTTTTTAGTGCCAAGAGATTATGGCAGATAAAATTTTAAAAAAGAATAGTAACTCATAAGACATGACAAAAGCACTGCAGTTGATCTATCTTGACTTGCTTACTACCCCAGGTGGTCTAAATTTCCGGAGCCCTCCACTACGGCGTCTCTCATAATCATATAGTGGTTTTGGGACGTTAAACCCCACATATCATGACTTGCTTACTGGGGAGCTCCTCTCTCTCATGCTTTTGTCTTTGATATTTTCATATTTCAGGCATCTTTTAACCCTCCATTGCCCAAACATTATTTTCTAGTATTATGAAGCTACGTTTTAAGCACCTCAAAAGAAAAAAAAAATGGTATGTTCTCTGTTACAATCTTACATACTTTATTAAAGCCCTCATCATAAACAGCTCATATAGCAGTCAGCTTGTGACTCCATAATTGATGCAGTTCGTAATCCTAAACATATTAATTATTGTAGAAAAAATATTTTGTGGATAGTTACAAGCCACCATGACAGGTTTTGGAGCTGTATATCAGAGGCTCAGTCGTGTGTGTTGCAGTGCATGGGTGTTTTCATAATATTAGGAAGTGTACCACTGGTGTTGCAGCCCCGAGTCATGGTGTCAACAGAGTCACTGGAACAGCGTTTCATTACCGTAGTTTCCACTGCCCCCCTCACACGCACACTACTTATTTCTCTCTCTCTCTTTCCTGTTGGTCAGATTTACCTCTCAGAGCATATCAGTATCAAGATCATTGGTTCTAAATGGGTTAGATAATCATGAAGCTATCATTCAAGATGTGCTGTGTAGGCAACCATGGGGCAGAGCTCGGCTGTTAAAATCTCGGGTGATTGTCTACTTTCACATTGCAGCATGCCGCTAAGCAGTGACGCTGGCCTATTCAGAAGCATCTAGCTTCCACACGAAGTATGGACAACAGCCGTGAAGAGGAAATGGCGGCCAACCCTCCGAAAGTCACGTATCCGCCAGGCATCAAAGCCATCTCTGATGACCTGAGCACTGATGACCTTGTACGGCGACTTAAGGTATGTGCTCATACTGATGGTGTAGTTACTTGTGCTTGCTGTCGCATTTGTGCTCACTGACACATTGGCTGCAAGGGAGCAGCTGTAATGTAATTTAGCATCTTACTTTAAATGCAACCAACTTCAGTTAAGATTGGGGTAGCCGTTGCCAAAAAGAATGTCTCTCTCTTGTTCCTGTGTAATTGGAAAGAAGCTCCTGAGCTGAGTCTTTCTTTTGAAGTTAATAGATACCTATCTGTGTCGTCCGCTTATTACTATGGATAGGCATGCATATATGGGCAGAGCTGCAAAACAGGATGCGTGATTCTATCAACGGTGATAACTGGACGGCGCGCACTATATTATCGCGAAAGCTTGTCGCTGTTCAGGTTTCATTTGATGCCAATGGTACAAGTGTCACTTGACAACAAACATGCAACTATGCTTCCTTTGGAAACATGTACTGCAGCTTTATTCCCTTCAAGCTTTCAAGGCTTGGCGCATATCTAAAATGTGTTCAAATTCAGGAGGAGAAACGTTCACTTGCTTATGCCCATTATACTTTAAGATGTTCATCGGCATTTTACCAACCGGGGACCATAGTGCTTCCGTCACTTTTAAGACTTGCTTTGTGTGTCAGCAAGCTGAAATCATCATACACTCAGTCTGTACAGCAGGCCCTGGATGTTCTATGTCAAGTACTTGCATACTTTTATAGTAGTCAGCACTAGTTGACTAGTATTGTGATTAGTATTGAGGCCTAACGTGTCTCACTATCAACAGGGAAACATGACATGCCTGAGATTCTGCTTCCAGTACTATCGAGTTTTCAAGATACGAAAATGCATGGGACACAGCAGTGTTGTTGAAGCTCATGCAATTTTTTTTTTCTGTGCTCACTTCTTTGTGTCTTCATGTCTTTCCACCCCGTTCCCCCAGCATAGGATAACAAACCAGGTGCACATCTGGTTGAACTTTCTGCCTTTACCTACTTCCTTCTTTTCCTCCTTTGTGCTGAGTATTACATCACAAGCCCCCTGTCCTTCCTATTTCAATCCTCCTCACAAGCCCACAGGGGAGTATACCTCTCCACCTGGGTATTCTTTTTTCTGTAGAACAAGAACTTGAATGTTGTTTTCTTGAAATGCTGTTGTTTGCAGGAGTGTGCCCAGACATTCCAGAACCTGAGCCAGGATGAGGACAACAGCGCATACGTTCAGCTTGCCCTCCACCTTGCGGGTGAGGGCTTATTAAACCACAACTCAAAGGACGTTCGGCTGCTTGTAGCTTGCTGCATCGCGGATGTCTTTCGCGTATTCGCGCCCGAGGCTCCCTACAAGGATCCTGAGCAACTCAAGGTATGCCACCGTTCTTTCTTGTTGTATCCAGTGCAGTGTGGCATTCTAAATAGAAAATTCTCTTAAGTCGTAACCTTTTTCCTAATAAAAATAGGCAAGTCATTGTTGCCATGTGGTGGAAAAAATTCTGTACAAACAATAGCAACAGAGCTGGGTTCAGACGTTAAGCAGTTGCCATGCTGGTTTTACTGTTGCAGTTTCGGTTTTCTATCCAGAGTTCTGGATTTTAGTGTGCAGGCTGTCTTTGCACTAAATTTCTCAAAAAGGGATGTGGTAAATGTAGCACATCTTACACATGCTGCTAGTCAATGGGCCCCCACATGTGTCACATGCATTTATGGTTTCATTGAAACTAGTAGTGCATAGTATAGCTTTGAATGTGTAGTATAGCAGTGGGGTGGGAATGGTAAGTGAGGGTGAGAAGAAGAAAAAGAGAGGGGAATGCATAACATACATAGACATATGTGTTTTAGTATAGTAAGTAAAGGGAAGGAGAAGCAAAGGTGAGTAGGAGGGGAATGCGCCTGGCTCTGCTGTTTCCTTAGTGTTAACACTACGAGTACATAGCTGCCCCATTTTGAACATCATATAAGGTTACCTTTGCTGTATTGTGTCTTGTTACCTTATTCACTCGCAAAATAGGCGTACTTTTTTTTTTTTTTTCAGAAAATTCAGCTCCTATTACGCGGGGTAAAATTTCTAAAAATTTTATTTCCAACTACAGCATAAAGCGCTGTATGTAAGTCACCGAAGTCACGAATATCTGCCTACAGCTGAAACAAGCCTCTCCAAAGGCTACACTAGCACATAACGCGTTGAGCATGCAGTCTCGCATGTCCAAGAATCGAGGCACGCAAGGCAATGTGCTTAAAAACATTCAAATTTCCAAAAATTTACACAAAAAATTTATGTTGCCAACAAAATGAACACAGAAAAAACTACGAAAAGAAAGTGCCATTGTGGAAATTTGCTGATTACGTTTCAGGACATTTTGATCTTGTGCATTATCACAAATGAAATTTTGTGCACTGAACGGTGGCGATCTTTCAATTTCTTGGACTCACACCCCCTATCCAAAATATTCTGATTGAATCGCAAACCACCATTCAAATGTCACAAGCGCCACCCATGTACTTTTCTTCAAGTAGAGCCACGACAAAGAGTTGCGCTGATTCCGTACAAAACCGTAACTTTGATGCCCACCGAAAAGCAATAAACGCTTATTAGGCTTAGCTTAAGGTTCGGCATGTTGTCGAGGAAAGTTTGTATAACACAACATGAAGATTGGGGGGTCGAAAAGGTCAAAATGACCAAGAGCAACGCGCATGATACGATGCGATAGAAGTTCGATGAGCTTGTGCAAGTCCACGTTGTGGCAGCAAAGGCGAAAGCTTGCGTCAGAATGCTGAAAAATCTTATAAATTTGTGGATGAGATAGCAAACGTGATAATGACGACAGTTTTCTAAACAGGAAACTCAAAACACTCTTGACAGGGACCTATTACATATTCCATGAAAAGCGCGCACGGCTGGCAAGTGGTTGTAGCCAAGCCGTTGCAAAGGTTAGTTCTACACCCAGGCAACTGCTTTTCCTCACTCGACAAGCCCACGCGGCGCTGCTGCGGTCTCTCTCTCTGTGTCGCTTCAGTTAACATGAGAGGGCGCTGGATTGCAACCGTGCAAATACGGTACAGAACAACTGATCATGGCACATTCAGGTGTGCCAATTATGCACAGAAATGAATTTTTTTAATATGATTTCTCTCGACCAATTTGGGCATGTGCCAGTTATGCGAGCGTGTTTATTATCTGAGTAAATACGGTACTGAATGTGTGTCGTGATGAGCTACCATGTCGTTACCATGTCATTGATGGAAACCATGGGTGGGGGGTGGGGACGCAGAGCATATTTTTATTCTTCATAGAACAGCTGAGGGGCTTGGAAGACCCCAAGGACCCAACTTTTAAACGTTATTTTTATCTGCTGGAGAACCTGGCGTGGGTAAAATCCTTCAACATATGCATCGAGCTGGAGGACAACCAAACCATCTTCTGTCAGCTCTTCTCCCTCATCTACACAATTGTTAAGTGAGTACCCTCTCTCGTTGTACACTTGTTGTGAGATGAGGTCGTCTGTTTTATTCACTTTGATGAATATGTTAGAGCGTTGGTTCTCAGCCATCGATTTGTCGGGGACCCCTTGTGGACTGGTGGAAGTGGTATGGGTCCCCTTGCAGCGGAGGGGAGGGAAGGGTACATGGGTAAATTAAAACACAACTGGAGCGGGAAACAGGTGCCTTTTATTGCTATCAAAAACATCAAAGAAACATGCCACATCCCTTCATTTTCGACAGTTCGTCAGTACGGGGCACAGTCACACATAAATAAAAATGCAGGTGAGGGTTTCGCTGATTATAGAAATGGCTTCGCGAACCCCCTAGAGTCCGCAGAACCCCATTTGAGAGCCACTGTGTTCGAGAATACTGTCACAGATGCAGATGATGCGTGTGAGGCTGTTCGTGTGACAGCTCACCAATGTAACTGTGCGTCCAAAAGTGGATGGTGGATATACGGTGAATCTCTAAAAAGGTATCAGCAATGTCAGCTTTCCTAATTTCAACTTTTACAGGATCAACAAGATTAGTTTAATCATTAAGCTTGTCAAACGAAAGGCAAGAAGAAAAGAGAAAGAAGCACTGTATAAGAGTACCTACTTCACTTCTAATATCTCTGCAAATTATATTTACAGTGGGAGTTCAATGTAGACAACTAATGTAGGATTGGTGTCAAAACTTTTGATCCAACAATCCACACCTTGATTTGTGTAATAAAGTTCTGGAACTATGAAAATGTCAGAATCAACAAACTTTTATAGACTAGAATTTTATTTGCCTGATACCCGTCATCACCAATGTGCATCAACACTTTATGGCTGTCTATTATCAGCTGCAATTATGCTGCACTTACAGACTGCTCCCACGCCACTCGTATACGGGATGTAGCACAACCTTTTCCTGTTAGCTTGTCTTGTAAAATGGCATCACTTCAATTAGCTTTCATAGTTGGACTGATAGCTTGTGTGTGAAATACCTTATTGTTTTAAATGCAGTTTTTTAATACATGCCACTTGGGTGTATTTTGGCATGTAGGCAAAATAGTCATTATGCAGCTCTGTGCAGTCATCGTAGTTTCACCGATGCAGAAGGCACAGCTGTTGCAGTTTTGGTATTTATTACCCACTTCTCTCAATTCTTCGATCATTGAGTGACAAAGTCTCTTGGCTGTCCGCTTATGCAGCGATAACCACTCCAATAAAGTGAAGAACTTCATGCTTGACATGATGTGTCCTCTCATCACCGAAGCTGACACGGTCTCCCAAGGGCTACTCGACATTGTGCTGAAGCAGATCATTGAGCCCTGCAAGGTGAGAGACATTGCCTGTTGAGGTTATCTGCATCAACCTGTCATTGTTGCTCAGTTGCCATGTTGTTTCGCTGCCAAGTAAAAGGTTGCAATACCTGGCTGTGAAAGCCACATTTTGGTGGGAGCTGAAAACGCCCATGTACGTAGACTTACATGCACAGTGACAGAGCAAGTAATAAGCAATGGGATGCTTAGGTAAAGACAGGAGATAATTTAATGGTGAGACGTTATTTCGAATTTAGCTGGCGTGAAACGTAATCAGCTTGTGCATGTTATGGTCGTTTGGAGGCAACAAGAGGTGGGGGGGGGCACGCATACAAAATGATCTGACAATAATGATAAACTGAACAAGTTGGAGATCAAAAGTCAAATATTTGGAGCCTTCCAAAATGCTTCTTATTTACCTCTAGTGTTGCTTTTTAGTGTGAAGCCCGATAAAGGAATTAAACTTGTAAAACTGGCTGATCGGGTGAGCTGGTGGTTCATTCTACTTGAAATACAAGTGCGTAAAAAAACACCCACATAAGCAGACCGACAAGTGCATCCTTGTCTGCTTATGTCCCTGCTTTAGTTAAGCGCTCATATTTAAGTAGAATGAATGAATCTCTGGCACCATCACTGTGCATGCAGTGCCTTCCTAACTGTGAAATCGTGTTAAACCAATTGCATCTGCATCCTCAACACTGCCTAACAAGTATAAAAATCCTTTTGCGAACCTAGTTTTGAGGTGTCTTTCTTAGGTTCTATCAATTGCCACAAGTTTCTATTTCGTGTAGTATCACTTATGTGGTGTCAAGTATTGTCCAGTACAGTCAAACAAAACACCTGCTTTTTCTGTTTTCGGCCACACTGAGGTAGTAGTACTTAGACAATTGAGGGCCATGTATGTCTAATAAATTTGAAAAGCATACCAGTCATGTCGACTTCATTGCTGGTTAGGGGTATTCTTTATTAGCACAGTACTTTGCATTGTTTTATAACAATAGAGCACACTAGGCTATGCTTTAGGTAAATATGTATCGCCATTTCATTTAATGTATCGCTTGACTCGACAGCATGACCCCAAGCAACAAAAAAAAAAAGATGATTTGTATTCTTTCTGGCTGCTAGCTCTGTGAGGTGTAGTTAAACTTTTTTGTTTGATACTGGCTTTTCAAGAATACATAGGTTTTTTTTTCTTTCTTTTTAGGATGCCGTCGCAGTCTCGCACAGCCTATAATAGTGTTTTGAGTTTTGATCTCGAATTGTTTTTTTTTTTCTCTCATTTGTGTGAATTGCGCAGACCCAAAACAAAAATGCATATAACCTGGCCAAGGACCTGCTCAAGCGAACACTCAACACCATTGAGCCGTACATTCAATCGGTAGGTGTTCTTCGTGCCTTCCGCTGTAGTGTGTGTCACAGTTAAGCCTACAAAGTGTGTGCGTTTTGTGGGTGCAGTTCTTCAACAACGCCTTGGTTCTGGGCCGGACATCCAACAGCAGTGTGGCGCCTCAGTTGTACGAGCTCATCTACGAGCTCAACATTCTCTGCCCCAGTATGCTCATTGCTGTCCTACCGCAGCTGGAGTTCAAGCTCAAGGTTAGCTTGCTTATATATCACCCGCCCTTCTCTCTCTCTCTGTTGCTCTTGAAGGGACACTAAAGAGGAACGGTGGCTCGGTTTAGAATGACAAACGACACTCTGAGAACTCTAATGCCACGTGTTTCTCAGTCGCAAGTTTGTTATTAGTACAAAAAATCTAGTTCGAAGTCCCATCTTTAAATTTTATGCCAAAACCTCCACGGGCGTCAAAAATTTCAAAATGTACTTTTCATGTTTTCGTGCCATCGGCACTGTAAGATTTTCTGAAAATTTGTATGCTAGGTTTGTGGCACCCACAGATGGCATTGTACTTTATTTTGATCAAGTAGAAGGGACCTATTAGACGGCTTCAACATCTATGACTTCACGTTGTTTGGTGTGGGAATCTCAAGGAGCCGTCCCCGCCCGTATTATCTTTTTGCGTGTTTTCTCGCTTACCAAGTGTCATGTCGCGGTAAGAGTGGTGTTTTCGGGATTGTGAAATTGTACTTCATTGATATGCAAAAATCTTTTCACTCTTTAATGTCTCTTGAAGGGGACCGACAACTGTTCTTTTTTTTTTTTTTTCCAACCCAGTTTTTTTTCAGCCTGACGGGAAGCTTCCCCTTTGTAGTGTTCGTAGCAGCCGTTGTTCATCCCAAAGGCACCTAATTTCAAAAGCAGTATATTTTTTTTATCTAGAAGGCTCTGAACACGGATGAGCCCTTTCATCTAGCAACGCTAAAAATTGATAGCGACGCCAGTAGCCTTTCTGGCGATTTGTGCATGCTGTCGTTCTGCTTTCGCAGGAGTTCATGTAACTATGCTTAACCACATTTATTCAGAGCTTTACAACTATTTTTTAAAATAACAAGCCGTTACAATGATACAATGAGGCTTTATACGGCTTCTCTGTATTTGTACTGCATTGCGTGCGCCTGCGCCCAAGGTTGTTGCGCCTGTGTCGTGGGTGGCTTGTCCCGTCGTCGCTATTCTCTCGACACACGAGCCAAACCAAGTTACCTTACTTGGGAAAGACAGGGAAGTTAGCTAATTTTCAGATTGGCTGGCTTCCCTGTGCTACAGTAAGAGAAAATGAAAATTAATGGGACTGATGAAAAAATTTATTGTAGCGGAATTTCGTTGTAGTGAAATTTCATCTATAGACCACGAAATTCCGTTAAAGCTGATTATTGGTTATTCCTTCAGTCCCAGCAAGCGCATGCATTAACCTCTCGTCAACTAAGACGTACGTGGCCATACACCGAGTGCGAGTATTTTCTCGCGTATACTACGATCGAAAGCAGGGTGTCGACATTCCACCACAAAAAGTTCCACTTCGTTTCTGTGCTGGAGCAAAAAATAATAATATTCCGTAATGGTAAATAACGGTTTTTATTTATATGGGGACACTCCTCTTAAAAAGTGAAACAGTGTAAAACACATTTTTTCAAGAAGCGGAAGTAACTGTACAAGGAATTCCTACAAAGTAGCACAAGCCAGTACTCTTCTAACTCGTACTGGTATTCATTTTCTCAAAAGTCAGCAACGAATTTTTTAGGCTGAATGCTTTGAGACAAAGAAGTGAGCATTATCTCAGAAGCAGCATATCATCGATTGTTTCTCTGATGTGCGAGACCACGTGTGATAAAACAAACCAGTACCAAGAATGCTCCCTTCACGCTAGCCAGCATGACAGGCACATGGAAGTGCACTTGCATTAATATAAGCATCTCTGGTCACCACTGTTCGTTTTTCACACATTTTTGGCACACCTATACTCAGGAATCACTGCTTGAGAGACACGCTATTACTACACTGTGAGGTATGCATTATTGCTCACGTTGCTTGATCTCGGTAGTTTCAGATTGCGAAGTTTTTTTGTGAACGAAAAAAAAAAGCAGATGAAAAAATTATGGTTACACACCGAAACGAAATAATAGATAGTGTAGCAGCATGTCGTTTTATGGCTTTATTTGCCTTTAATCTACGGCTGTGTTAACTGCGAACCTTCGGAGTGTCTTGGCTGTTGAACGTGAGGATAGCGACCGCAGTTTCCAGTGCAGCTGTTGCGACAAAAGGTAGTTTGTTTTTAATCTGTGCACGCTGTGCTGGCCGTGCGCATGCCTTCAGAACTGTGTCTTCGCTATCTTTGTTCGCATTGACGCAATTTTGTTCGCAGCATTGTGGCAAGCAGCATTGGGTCGAGTCGATGCGCATTAGACGCACGCATACTTTCGTGACGCCCATGATTGCGTCTTACGCAGTTGCATTTGTAATCGAAGTGTTGTGCCAAAATGCAGTTATGCTTGTATTACATGCATGCTGGCTGCGCGTGCGCCTTCATAACACTGTGAATGTCATTCAGGATCACAAGGCCAGTGACAACGAGCGGTAGTTTTGTTTTGAGCGCGATGTCAAAAATCATTGTGGGAGTTCTCGAAGAACGATTCTGCCGTAGCTCGCACATGCACAAAACCCACCGATGGTCAATGAACAATCTGTTGCCGAGCATCTCAATGGCAAAACATTTACCGTCGTGTGCGTGTGGTGGCAGAAAGCGTGTCTTCGATGAAGGTACGGGTGTTGCCATGCCGCCATGTACTGTGGAAGTCACAGGCTGTCGAGAAATGGCTAAGTTGGTAACAGAATTTCACAACAATCATAGGCAAGTTCCTTTTCCTTTGCTGGTACTCGCGAGAACTTCGAAGTGTATGTATGCAGGAAAAGCATTTGTTATGATGAGACATTCACATTGTTTTTATAGGCATCTTACGGGGAATCAAAGGTTATTCTTTGTGGTGAAAATTTCGTTTTGGTGGGCTTCAGTATAGCACGATTCGACTGTATTATTTATTTTTTTTCTATCATACTTTCCCATTATACAAGCACTTTGTGCAGAACCTTCCAAGTGGAAAATAAGCTATTCTGTGTTATGCTTTGCAGAAAAAAATACTGATTTCTGTGTAAGAAACTTTAAAAGTCTAAGAGTAAATTGCCGGTTGTACACTTGTATATATTGAGGGGAAATCCCTAATAATCATAAACGTACAACAGACACATGACAGACATAGCAAAACAGTAGATATTTCTTGCGACCTTAAATTATTGCATGGGAAAATTTAGTACTTAGACTTTTTATTTATCATTAAGGGGCTCCTAATCATTTAGGCACTATGTCCTTCTATCGTATCTGAAATAAATAGTGTACTTGTGGTTTTATTCTCCATGCAGTGCAACGATGAGAAGGAGCGGCTGAGCGTGACAAAGCTCCTCGCCCGCATGTTCTCTGACAAAAACTCTGACCTCGCAACGCAAAACCCGCCTCTTTGGAACTGCTTTCTTGGCAGGTGAGATCACCTAACAGTAAGGTTTCACTTGTGGTCCGAGCATTTGAAGTTTGGTTGCATGCTCAAAGATTTTGTTCACCTGATTGGCATACTTGAATGTCATATTAAGGCTGGAGATTCCAAACGGCTTATCTCAGTCCTGTTATATGAGACAAGTGCCTTTATAAACATTTTGTCGTTTAAGATGATGTGTCATGTAATAGTGATGTGCTTGATAGTGCATCAAATAGTGCATCAGCCTGTACACAGGCTGTTGTACAGGCTGATGAGGTTGCCTTGTGTTCTTGGCATGATGCCAACATTGCAACAATGGCCATAAGAGCAGTCATTGCTTTTCTACGAGCCATTGAACTGGATGTGCGTTTGTAGCACTGCACTAACCTGTTGGGACTGAACATACCTCCTTACCTCCCCATTGTCATGCATCACTCTTTTTCTTCCCTATTCCCCTGCCCCAGTGTAGAGTAGCAGGCTAGAGCATACTGTTGCTCAGGCTGACCTCTTTGCCTTTCTGTAAATAAACTTCTCTCTTGTAGTCTACTATAAATTATGGGGCAACCCATGTACAAACTTGGCCAAACATTAAGCTTTGTTCATGCTTCATGAAATTCTTAGTATTCGGTTTATTGTTGTTGTTTTTGAAGCATTATTTTTAAAGTTACCTCACACAGTTTGCTTTTGCCTCGCCTTCTCTCTCAGGTTCAACGACATAAGCGAACATGTTCGAATGCGGTGCGTCCAGTACTCCATGCACTTCCTGCTGAATCACCCCAAGCTGCGGAATGACATCACGGGTAGGCGGTGCTCCTCATTTGAAATCAAACCTAGAGTTTGAAACAGTTTTTCTTTGTAGGCATCTATATGGTTGCCGCCGATGCATGCCTTTTATGTAGGGCTAAGTAGTGACATGACACACGTTGAATCAATTGAAGGTGTAGTTTATCATAATGTTCTGCATATCAATGAAATTGCATGTTGACACTGTTTAAATAGGACTCTAATGAAGTAAATACAGTTAAAACTCAATGTAATGAACATTGCTTGATTGAAATGTCCTCTGTAGCGAAAGAGGGTTTTCGTGTGGTGGGCAGAAATCGTCATGGCAAAGTGATACCATGTTCATTACAGATGTGTCATGCTGATCGTGTTAGCATTTCTCTGGCTCCTTCAGAAGACACTGTGCTTAATTTTTACTGATGAGGAGCTGTGTGGGCTCTAGTAAATACTGTCAATACCTATTACGTTGCAGGAATTACAAGAAAGCGTCTCCGCTCGCATTTTCATTTTGCACGTTTTCTCTCTTTGCCAAGCTTCTTCTCGGAGCAAGCAGAGTGTTTTTGGTGTCATGAAAAGGAATTTACTGATTCAAGAAAAATTATAGGCCATCTCCTCGAAGGGAACCGTGATGGGATACGAAGCAGCAGCGGTGTGCACGGAGTTGACTCAGTTGAAGCGGGCGTCGACGCAGATGCTGGAAGAATGGTTTGAAGCGAAATGCGGTTTAGCATTTACTTGAGTAAGCGTTTGTTTGAAACGCAATCACAGTCGAGCCCACATATAACGGCCCCACCTAAAACAAACAATATCCGCGTGACCGTAAAAATATACATTTGGTTCAATGGCAGAAAATCGCTCTTACAACGAACGTCTCCGAGCGCCGCTGATCGGTTACAGCGAACGGAGTCAGTGGTCTGCCGACTTTCCGGGAAACCAATTTCGACCACCGATCAGGCATCGGCGAGGTGCCCATACATTTTTATTGTTAAACGCCGACCCTGCCTCCGCGACCCTCTAGTTGCCGCTCTTCCCAACCCATGGAGTTTCTCCATGCCCCGACTGCTTTTTGTTACGCACCCCTTCGTCCTTTGTCTCCCTGCTACTCTGAGCACCCCGCAACACCAGACGAGGCCCATGTTTTCACACTGCCACCGATCTTTCGAAGACCGGTCGGCCGTCTACCCTGTTTTTGATTACTGGTACTGTCGCTGGCGTCACCGGCCTTGAGTGACCCGACCATTCGCCAACATCGTCAACCACCGACTCTGATGATTTGTGATTCATTTCGTGTTTAGGACTTGTTCTCGCTCACTTTGCACTCAACTCAGCATGCCTTCTGCACGTGCAGAAGCGCGAAAACGGCTGTTAATTCGCGCGGAACGAATCGCGAAATATCGAAGTTCGTGGGGCCACACAAACCCGCTGGCGCAACAAAACGATTTTTTCACCACAGCCGCCGATTCTTCGAACACCGCCGCGCGCACCAATCTTGGCGGGCATGCTTTGACTTCTGCATGCGCAGGCACTCTTTCCAACTTTTTCTACGTGCGAGTTTCGCGGACTTTTTAAGCAAGCTACCCAACCTGCCTCCTTCTCGTGTGTTTTGGTTTTCTAGGTCGCCCTCCCCTCTCTTTATTGCAAACTCCTTGCCCTTCTCTCGCAAATCTGCTTTCCTCTCTAGATCGCAACCCCTTCACCCGTCTCCACCGCTCCGCGACGCCAGCCACGCTGGCTCAGTTTCTTTTTCTGACTAGAAACGGGCCCACAGCTGTTCCACGCGTTCTGGCATGTGTGTCGCATGTGCGCGTCTTGCTCGCTCTTGGTGTGCATGTGTGGTCATGATGGCCGACATAAGGACTAGCACGCTTTTTCCTACCGCTCAACAAAACGTCGAAAGTGTGACCGCTTGGCTTGAGCGTAATCTGCACATTAGGTGCCGCTTTGGGGAGCGCTCGCTCATAGTTGTTGACCACCTAGCAGCCAACTTGCCACTTCGGGCGTCCCGGTATTTAGCTGTGGAGAGGGTGAATATTTCGTGACGGCGGTGACGGCTACATGCGCGCAAAAATGTTTTTGCGAGGCCGACTTCGTCGACAACGGGCCCGATGCCGAGCCTGAAGCTTCCGAACTGCGTCGTAGACTCCGAGCTCGAAGGGAAAGTGGGATATCTGTTGCGATGGTTTAATTACGGCTGATGATGATGCCGACACTGCGGAACCGTGCACGGATTGGGGCATTGTGAATGATGTACGTGGCGCGTGCGATTTGGAGGAATTTAATTGCGATAACGACGAAACTTTGGAGCCAGTGCCTCATGCAGCTTATGCCACGGACCTCGGTGAACGAGCACACTGCCGTTTTAAATGAACTTGAGACCGCCCTTATCGTTCCTGCTCCTCGAAACACGTGCATTACGAACTTTTTGCGGCAAAAAAAGTTTGTGTTTATCTCGCAACTTTTTAAAAGCTGTGTTTCATTTACTATGAACTTTGGGATACAGCGAACGGATGTCGCGTCACGCTCAGGTTCGTAATAAGCGGGTTCAACAGTACATGGGAGGCAGGTTGGGTTTCGTGTCAAGTTTTATCGCAGATAAACAAGCCAGAAGAGTAGACAGACTTAGTTACGCATCCGCAGTTGCTGTACGGACGCAGCCTGCTAGCCATTTTCAATGACAGGCCGCATTCGTACGGCTGCTGTGGTGGTGCAGCTAGATCTATCTAGTGTTTCCATTCAACGTGTGGTCGAGCGTTACGGGTGGTAGAGAGGGTGAAGCGAGAAACAAGTGTGTTGCAAGCGGGCGGAGGGGCCAGCAGCTGCTGCGGGTGAGAGTGACGTCAACGCGCAGCTGCGACTTGACCTACTTGGAACCGCTCCAACACCTGCGGCAAGGGGATTCGTGAGGACATACAGGACAGCGTTACACAGGCTAGTCAAAGAACTGCTTCGCATCTGATAGTTTAGAGGGCACTTGAGTTTCACCTTCAAGAGTAGGGTCCCGATAGCGCAATTGAGCCTCATGCACATTGTCGTCTCAACTGCTAACCTGCTTCGGTTCTTGGTGCATGCCTCAACCATGCCTGTGAGACACAGCGAAAGAACAATTGAGAGGCTTATACACAGTTCATCTGTACCTGTGAGTACGTTTCGTTCGTCACATTTCGATCTGCTTGCCATTCTGCGCGTGACCTTCCGATTTGTTGCTATCACGTTCATTGATTCATCTTTGTGGCAAAGCTGTGGCTTTATATATAATGCCCCCGATATTTAAGCCATCATGCATCCCTGTTTCGAAGCCTGGCTGGTTACAAACATCTTCGGGAATTATTGTGCAGCTCACAGCATTTCTGTTACGCACTGAGATGTGCCTATTAATGCTCCGGAATGAATAATGGAAGTTCGCTAGATCGATCGCATCTCAGGATCACCATCTAGTGAATTAAGTGGGCGAGTGCTAAACCAGGAAAGATTTATCAGTGACTTACAGAACCCCGAAAAGGGGCCGGTGGAACCCTTGAGGTTCCACGGAAGCCATTAGAGAACCCGTGGTCTGCTCTTATTATAACGGACCCACATACAACAGACTTTCAGATACAACAGACCATGATAATGATTCACATTCGGCCCAAATTTAGTCTGTGTATTAAGTTCACTTTTAATGGCCCAGGATAGAACGGACTATCGCCTACAGTGGACGAAATTAGCGGCATTTTTCTTCGAAATTGGGCGCATAAAGCGTGCTTCTGTTGCGTCATTGTATCCATATTCGTACTTCTGTTAGGTTATTGTATCCCGTCACATTATTGTATCTTATTGTACACTAGAGCCTCTTGTTGAACAGGGTCTGTCTTTGTATGAGTAGCTCGTGTGACGTAGGCTGCAGCAACAGCAATGACATTTCACAAATGAGCTAGATTTTCACCATTACGATACCTCATATGTTTTGATGAGGTTCTCAAAGCTAGAGCTGCACGTCAACATAGCTAAGATGTTCATTTATAACCCTTTTACAGCCACTGCGACTTCCTCTATTGCAGTCGCCACTTGTAACCATGCGAGAGGCGCCCCAACAGACTGTTCTCGAAGGCAGATTGTGCGCCTGCTGCGCTAGTTTTCACTTGATCATAGAGGTTGGTGGTGTGCATAGAGCTTCCTAAAATTGTGGCGCGCTGTTAGCTGGGACGACTAGGTGGAGCTACGCGTCGTTACGTCACTCGACGCCAATTGCATTTACAAACATAGAGTAGGTCTTTACATTAAACATAACATAGCACAATCTGTTTTATGATATACTGCTGTGTTTGAATTGTTTTGAACCTAGCACGAACTTCACTGCTTTGACTACTCGCAGCTAAAAGCGAACCCATCAGCTTTTTGGAGCTTTGATCATGCGATCATAGATGGTGCAGCTTGTGTGTCTAGCACTTTGCGGCGCATTGTGTTGCTGGTTTTGTTTCTAGAATAGAGTTACGCTATAATTTAGTGAGAAAAACATGCTAACGCAAGAAATTTACACTATAATGAAGTGAACGAGCTCCTTAATACCATCAAACTAATTGTTTTTTTCTTTAGTGCCTCTTAATTATGGAACTTATTTTTATTCGTTCTTGTGAAAAGCAGAGGCCACCCTGATAGTGTGCGCCTTTTTTTTTTCCCCCAGAGTCACTGCGGCAGAGGCAGCATGATCCGGCAGAGTCTGTGCGATACGAGGTGGTGATGGCCATCATTAGCGCAGCCAAGAAGGACTTTGGCTCGGTCACTGAGGAGCTGCTCAATTTTGTTAAGGAGCGCACACTGGACAAGAAGTTCAAAATCCGCAAGGAGGCCCTCATGGGGCTGGCCCACCTCTACAAGCAACACATGAGCAGCCCCGACCTTCCAGCGTCCACGTTAGAGTGCATCTCCTGGATCAAGAACAAGGTCGGTAAAAGGGCCACTTCTCGGACCTGTAATCTGCGGCATCCTGTTGCACAAAACGTAGTCATGGTCCATAATGCGGTCATAACATTGATGGACAAGGACATTGAAAGGAAAAAAAAAATTGTATAGCTTGCACTAGTGGCACTAGCAGTGATGCTGCCGCTGCGCCAAACTGCGCCGAATCGCCCTAGCTGCTACAGGCTGCTACATTTCCTTGAAATTTGGCAAGTCTGCACCCAACCAGCGCCAAAGAGCATGCTTTGACTTTCAGAAACGAAACTACCTGAAGTTGTCCCGTTGAAAATGACATCGCTGTGCATATGCGTAAGACACAGCCAAATGTCACTATTGGGATCTTGGATGGTTGGGACGCAGTGAATGCTCGATTTTTCGGACTTTCTATGGACCGGGATATCGTCCAAAAAATATTCATGACTTTCTATTCCGCTCAAGTAATCAAATCGCCAAAGCCACGTCTGAAATAGCTTCATTGCCTCCTAGAGTGCACTCATCAGGCATTTCGGTGCATGCTCAATTTGTCGTAAATACATTCAGAGCCTGCCGACGTCATTTGCAAATATGCGTCGCGTGATGAGCGCCTCCGATGCCAGCAAAGCGTGGCATAAGTTGCAGACTTATCACATGGAGCGTATAGAAAAGATGACACAGTACATAAAGGATGTGGCAGAACAGAGGAATACTTGTCCGGACCTTCGCAATGCGTGTGTGCACTTAGAAGATGTGCCACTGTACGAAAATTTCTGGCGACACGTAGCGCTTGCTATCACATGAAACCGATCGTTCCTAGTTGTGGGCAGCACATTGCTTACACGGCTGACGCCGTTCCTACCGGAGTGCTTTCGTACGCACGTTCTTGTCATAAAAAAGTGTTTATCACGTTCTTGTCATAAAAAAGCTCCAAGCATTTTCGGTGCTTATCCGTTAGACATCACCTCACTCCGCGATGATACCGGCCCCTTCGATTTTTTTTTTTTGTTTGTTTGCTTCACCCCATAGTACTTGCGCATTGTGGCAAAGCCGACTTTCGGACATTACTGTAACGTCGAACGACCTTTGAAAGCGCTCGTTTAAAGGGCCACTCACCAGGTTTGCACAATTTTGAGCTGACAAGTGCAATGCGTAGACGAGGCGTTCATGATCACGTCTGTCCAAACTTTGCAACGCTACGCGCCGCCGAAATGGATCAAACTTCAAGATGAAAGCTGCTCCCCCTCCCCTCTGCCGGCGCACGCGTAGAGAAGTGAGGGCATGACGTAGGCGTAGGAATTGCCCTACGTACACGGCAATGCAGTGACGTTGGTCCTAAACGTAGACGAGTCTACTTTGATGTCAACAGTATACCACGTGACATGGCTAAAATTATTTAACACAACATGCATAGTTTATGTATTTGTTGCTTTAATAGATTAATAAAGCTTGAAATAAATAATGAGATGCAATCAAATATTGTGCTAGTTTTTCTTCCATTTGTTCCCGTGCAATGCTGAGAGACGCGGGGCTAATGTGCCAGCGTTCCAGCATGCGTTCGTGTCCCCGCGGTCAGCGCATTGAGCAGACGATCTCCGTGGAACGCTCCTACGCGTTCCCGCAGTGATTGTGCTCATCTACTCTACCGCGTCTAAGCCAGCGTTTCCCAACCATCCCGCAGAAACAGGCAGAAGACCACAAAATAATGCTGGTCGACAAAGCAACGTCGCTCGCGTGCTCGGGGGTTGGACTTGTTTGGGCACGTCATGCGCACGTCACCTCTTGGTCGGATGCCGGAGAGGGTGGGGAAAAAATTTGGCTTGCGAAGGATACGCGGAGGAGCACCAAGGGTTTCGAGCTCGCCTCCTGTCACCCTCATTTCGCGCCGCTTCAAAAAACCTGTTTTCTCCGCTCGTAATTAACCGATTCGAAAAATGTTTGTGGCAAAACGTTCCTCATCGGACACCCAACAACTTCCACTGTCTAACTAAAATTCGGCTTGGGCCCTGGTGAGTGGCACTTTAAGTCTATGAGGTCATAGACACAGCAAAGGTAGAGACTTTAGGTAAGGTTGTTTCATACGTAGAATGTCGGCTTAAAGCCCAAGAAATCGGATGCCGAAGACTTTCAGTGTCGAAAATGTCAAATGTTCTTATCTATACACGTTGAGAGGGCTTGTGATGGTTTCGTGAAATCGTCTGAATTTTCAAGCATGTCTGAAAATTTCGGCTTCCGAAAAATCAACAGTCAAGATCTTCAGTCAAGTTAATGAAGTGCTATGGTTTAAAATTTTATCATTGGCTTTGTGTATTAAATATCACCAGGTTATCTGTTGGCGATATAATTTCTCTATTATGCTTGAATAGCGTGCAGCACATTGTAATTTTATCATTCGTGTGCCATGAACACAGTATTCAAAAACGGCAGGAAAGGGTGTATGGAACCTTGGGATGAAAAAAATCCGTAAAGAGGGGTTGGTGTCGGACCAACATTTCAACTAGAAAAGTTGTCTTTCTCAAGGCTAAAACAGAACAGTTTGGTTCTGAGAAAGACAAGACTACTTGTCGAAACGGCTTGACACAACCCCTGTTTACGGATTTCTTCGTGGACACAATAGGTGTCTTAAAATTGACTCTAGCAATACTATTTGCTCCGAAAGCCAGTTTTGCTGCTCCAAAACGCATTTTGTCTGCTCCAAAAGCTGTTCCAAAGCAGCCCAAGTACCGTAATTACTCGAATCTAACGCGCACCTCTTTTCCGGTTAAGCGAGTTCATAAATCGCATGCGCGTTAGAATCGAGTACGAACAAAAAAATTACGGTCAATCTATTGCCATCGGCAAATCCAAAATGGCCGCCCCCTACGTGCGTCGGCATGGCGCGTCGGCCATTTCTGCCTACGTGTTTCCCATGTGCGGCACTTCGTACGTGTGCTGAGGAGTTCGTCATCTAGTAGTGCATTAGCATCGACGGCGTGGAAAGGCCGACTCCAAAAACTCGAGTGCATCACGATGCCGCTTTTAAAAGAAAAGTCATCGCGTGTGCAGAAACGGACGAAAATCGGGCCGCATCGCGGTCGTTCGGAGTTCCCGAAACGTGCGTGCGGGACCGGCGGAAACAAAAGCAGAAGATTGTCGACAGCAAAGCTTCACGCAAAGGCTTCAGTGGACCACAGCAGGGTCGGTTTCCGCAAATTAAAGAGCTGCTCGGCGAGTATATGCTTGAGCAGCGAGCGGCACAGCGGCCCGTGACGACAGAACTGCTCTAAGTGCAGGCTATGCAGTTAGCCTTAGAAAAAAGGCCTAATGCGGAGCCAGTTTAAAACAAGCAGGTGCTAGCTAACTAACTTTATGAAGAGGAAAGGCTTTTCCCTCCGAAGGCGAACGGGCATATGGCAAAAGTTGCCGGAGGAGTACGAAGAAAAGCTTCACAGTTTTCAGAGGTTCGTCCTAAACTTGCGGCACAACAACGACTACCTGCTTGGGCAAATCGGGAATGCCGATCAGACGCCTCTTTACTTCGACATGCCTGGCACCACAACCGTCGAGAAGAAGGGGGCGAAGCAAGTTCGCGTGTTGACATCGGTCCACGGTAAAACTACAGTGACGGCAATGCTCTGTTACACGTCAGATAGGCACAATCTTCGCCCGTACCTCATATTTAAATGGAAGATGCTCCCGAAAGGAGTCGTTTTTTCTAGTGGTGTGATCGTGCGGGCAAGCGAGAAAAATGGGTGCGCGTTGCAATCGATGTCTTACTTTTTTTTTTTTTTTTCACGGTAGAAATCGGGTGCGCGTTACAATCGAGGGCGCGGTAGAATCGAGTAAATACGGTAAGTAGCATCACTGCGCTAGGCTGAAAACAAGGGGGGGGGGTTTCCGTTGTAACAGCCCTCCAGGTCTGTTTGCCCAGACGGTCTTATCCATTGAACGACCAGTTCCTCGGACATCCAGCCCTTCTCTTGAGCACGTATGACGATTCCCTGAGGGAACTTCTTTTTGGGGAGAGTCTTCCTTTTAAACACCATGTACGGCGGAAGCTTCCTGCCGTCTGCCGTGACGCACAACATCACAGTGCACCTTTGACGTTCTGCACCGATCGTGCGCACAGACACACTTTTCGCACCTTTCAAATCCACTGAGGTGCTTTCCGGTGCATCGAACCACAGAGGTGTCTGGTCCGCATTCTCTATTTGAGACATGTCGTATTCATGTTCCCTCCTGAGAGCATTCACGAAGCGATGAAACTTTATGACATGGTCTTCGTACTCGTGCGGCAGTTTTTGGCAAATCGTTGTTCGGCACCGAATAGAAAGCTGGTTACGGTTCATAAACCGCGTAGCCCAGCCCCGACTTGCCTTGAATTGTACTGGTGGTATTTCGCTATGGCGAGCGATGTTGAGGGCTTTGACGCTTATCATGTCGGTTGAAACGGCGTAGCCGTTTCTTCGTGTGTTGACGACGTAGTTAAGGAGCTCGCTTTTGAGTTGCGGGTACTTGCACTTTTTCCCGCAAAACGCCTTTCGGCTCCTGTTAGTAGTGGCGAGGGCATCTTTTCGCTTCATCCAGTAACTGACTGATTGATGTCACTGATTGCTTTCTATGCCGTCTACTTTGTGCAGTGTTTCTAAGCGCCTTTGTGCCACTTGGACCATGGGCAGCACATTGCAACTCATATTGGGTTTTGCAAGCTTGCGACCAAGCCTGCGAAACCTGGCCACAAAGTGCGAGCTATTCTCCTGCCATTTTTGTCACTTTTACAGTGTTTTCACTTGTCTACATCGTGATAACTTTTTTCCAGTGCAGAATAGTTTAGTTGTCTCGTTAGTCTAGTTGTTAGTGTCAACATAAACTCGCTTTTGATTGTAGCAGATCTTCAGTGATAATCATGGCGATTGTTTCACACCATGAACCATAGATATTGCTACGATTGGCAGGTGCTGCACGTTTACTACCAGACGGCCCTGGAAGACCGACTTCTTGTCGAGCGCATTCTACACACGTGCTTGGTGCCCTACCAGCTGCCTGTGGAGGAGCGCATGCACAAGCTGTACCAGCTGTTTGCCACGGTGGACGACCACGCGGTGAAGGCATTCAATGAGCTCCTCAAGTGCCAGTGCGCTGTGCGGCAGCAGATGCGCACCGTTCTCGAGGCCCTGCATCTTCCGGCCGGTGAGGAGCGCGAGCGGCAGTTGCTGGCGCGTGTGGCCCTGCTCTCGCGCAACCTGCCCGACTCGGTCAAGGCCCAGGAGTACCTCATGAAGTTCTGTGCCGTGCTGGAGGGCAACCAGCGACTGCGCATCCACATGAACAATGTTCTCCAAGGCGGTGGCTCTTGTGTCGAAGCTGAGCGCAGCGTGGTGCGTATTGTGTTCCTTCAGCTATTCCGGATGTCTTCTTGTACATGTTTAATATGTGGTACTTGGATGAAACCATTAGCAGCAATACGAAATATTGTCAAGCAGCACTGTCCAAAACAAATCTCACACTCTCCTTATCCAGCAGGTTACTGCCATGAAGTCTAGTCCTCTGGGGGCCAGGACAGTGAAAAGATTAAAAACGATGGAGGGGGGGGGGATAAAATCTCACATTGCGAATTTAAAAAAATGCATTTCCCGTATCTAATGGATTGCATACTGCTCAACCCCAAATGAAGGTAGCATAAAAAAAAAACAGCAGAGTGTGAAACTTAATCTGGTCTTTTCTGTTTATTTTATTTTTGCTTTTGCAGTATGCCACTAGTTTTGCATGAGCCAACTAGCCTGAAAGAGGGCCCTATTTCATATCCTGGACATACAGTGGAACCCCGATTATGCGACTTTAAGGGTACCGCGCAAAACCGTCATATAACCCGGGTGTCGTATTATCGAAAAACAAAGATTATAGGCAGTGACACTCAGCCTCGCTCATAATAATTGCTTCAGATTGTCTGAATAAGTGCATAGCACGACCTTGTGTCTCTGCTTGGAAGGTAGAATAAATTATACCTGCCAGTGGCAGCTAATAGCAGCATTACTGAGTTGAAGCAGGCGCGAGCAAATCTTTTTTTTTTTTTTTTCAACTTTAAAAAATTGAATCTAATGCTTATTTTTCTGCCAATAAATAAAGTTAGAAAAGTGGCTGTGCGTGAAAACAAAATCGAAACCGCGTTGCCAACAGCTTGCCATCAGAATAGTCAGACACAGTGTCATAGCTATCACGTAATGACGACAGACCACGAATTTGTGTCGAACACGTAAAATGCCTCCGTGCGTGACTCAACTGTGCACGTAATTTGTTGTCTTGTGAAGTGCAACTGTCCCGCTGTTATTGTAAACGTTGACACCAAGTGAAAGTAGCTTTGCACTGTGGAAACAGCTACGTAATGACTTTTTGAGTGCGCAAGCCGGTGACTGCAAGTGTGACAAAGGCAGGAGATCAGCTGTATGCTGACCAGGAAAAGTTTCCACGGACCGCTTTTCGGCCGGCTGAAGCTACTCTGTGTGGATAGACCTTGGCTAGGTAACGACTCCGGATACATACGCACATAATCGAGGCGTATAAAGAAGTGCATGAACTTCTGGGAGAATAAATTTTTCATTCTAAGAACACATCCTTCTCACTCTACTTTTCCAATCGTCAACCTAGGGAAACGCAAGATCATATTTAGCACTGGTGTATATTTGGTTTTTGGTTCTTTCCTTTGGGCAGAATCTGGAAGTCGACGTAAGATGCGAGGTCGGCGTGCAACTGCAACGTATAACCGAGGTTTTGAATACGTTACTTCTATGGGGATTTTGCTGGGCCCAAATCGATTCGTCGTAAAATGCGGGTCGTCGCGAAACCAGGGGAAGTATATTCGAAGTTCCACTGTAGATGATTTTCTGGAGGGGATTAGGTGTCAGGACTTGAGAAACATATCGATATGAATCTCCAGAATGACTCTTAATGAATTTTGATCCCGGTATCTAAAGATGTTTCACAGTTTTCAACACGTGGAAACCGCATAAGATGCTTCACCAAAAAAAAAAAAGAGAAAGAAAACGAAAAAGAAAAAAGAGGATTTGAGACCAGTGATACAGCTTACCCAGACAAAGCACTATAATCGCAACAGCTGAGTAAATAATGCAAGTACCTTTTATCAGTGTCACAAATATTTCATTCCTTGTGAACCTGCAGGCCGCATGTTTGAGACACGTGGTCTGAAAGTTCTGTGGTTTTAAATGCCAAAACTACAATGAGGTATGTCGTAGTGAAGGTCTGTGAAGTAATTTTGACCCTGCAATGTTCTTTAATGTGTGTATAAATTTAAGTACACAAATGTTTCTGCATTTTACCCCCTATTGAGATGCAGCCACAGTGGCCGGGAATCGGACATACATGCTTAATCTCAGCATAGCAACATCCTAGCAACACAGCTACAGCAGTGGGTCAGATAAGGCAGTTTTGAGAATGGAAGAACTCCATCAGGCACATCTCGTGCTCAGAGTATTGATTCTTGGTGCTTTTACGTTGGTGGTTATAACCTGTGGCTACACTCACTGTCTACACTAAAAAGCAATTAGTATTTGCTAGTCTAGTGAGACGGGAATTTTAGGCATGAAGTGAATAGTGGTTTTGGTCGAATAATTTCAAGTGAAATTCAAATAGTATATATCACATATTATAAGGAAAAATTTGCATACTTGTCATGACCCAACTAACCTGCACAGTATTCTGTTAAAACTAGAACAAGGCCTGTGCAAATGCCATTTCTTTTGGTTCAAACGAAGTGGACACAACTTTGAGTAGTAGCAGGATTTGACTTTCAATAGAATGCAAGTGATAGCCTGTGAAATGCGTTACATTTTAAAATTTATTATACCATATTTACTCGTATAATCCTCGCACTTTCTTTGCCGGAAAGCCGATGAAAAGTAGGGGGGTGCGAGAATTACGCGGGGAAAACTTTACGAAAACGTACAGAGCGAAAAAGAAAACGAAGTGGCCGCAAATTGGGATTCTCACACCAACAACTAACAGCAAGCTTTAAAAAGTACTAATTAAAACTTACCTCAACAATAAAAGCAGAGGTTCAATGCAAGACAAGATTTAATTGAGACACAAAAAGTGAAAGCAAATAGTTGAGAATTAGAACACTATACGCAAAGCTTGCGGACGGTGCGGGCGTAGCGGTAGCGTTCGTCGCTCAACGGGAGCCCTAAAAAGGTAAGCGGAGGACGTCAGTATTGGGCTGATGGCTATTTAACAGAATTGTCCGCAGTTTCGTTCTTAAGAAATAAAGTTTACCATCAATCCCAAGGGCCTACCGGCGGCCCTGTTGCCGCTCTTTAGTGCATTATCTATCACTTGCAACTTGAAAGCAGCCGTACAGCTTCAGTATCGTCTCATAACTTGACAAGGTTATCGACGCAACATACAAAACACGCCGCAACGCGCACTGGCCACTTCGGCTTGGCTTGAGTTGGATTGAATCTCTGTGCAATAGTTCGCTTGATGCTTAAGAGATAGTACCAAATGGCGTGCACTATTATCATCAGTGGCTGGAACGAGCAGACGATATTATTACGGCAGTTTTCGGGGGTGCAATAATCACTCTATGAAAAAAAAAAGAAATCGTATTTTTTCTGGGCGATGTGGGGGGTGCGAGAATTGTGCGAGGATTACGCGAGTATATACAGTACTTGGGGCACATACGCTGGTGTAACGAGCTTTTAAACTGTGAAGATAAAACCTCCATTTAACCTTGAAGTGGGGCTTAGCGGCAGTGCCGGATTTTTCTCGAATACATGCGAGCCTATATAGGTCTATTCGTTCATTTCAAATACTTCGAAATTTCTGGTAATTTAAATTCAAATTGGAGTGAATTCAAATACTGTAGCATTCGTTTGAAGCATTAGAATATTTGGACTAGCCTAGTATTTGCATCTTAGCAACGTCAGCGCTGCTGCTATATCTAGCACTAAAGTTACGTGTGCACATCAACAGTAAAGATGAAAACAGAATGACTGCCTTCGTGCTCTGTGCTTGCAAGCTTTGGCAGTTAAATTTGTATGCGTTACTTTATTTGTGGGTATAGATGGGTATTTGTGAAAACCCTCTGTCAATGCTTGGTCAATTGACGCTATGAATTACATAGTTAATCCAGACAACGCAGAAACGGGATGCAGAAGAGACCACACAGCACAGGCGTCTGAGTTGTGTGGTTTTGTGCTTTGAGCAGTGTGTGTGTTTATGCACTGTTTGGAATAACTATGTGTACGTACCGAAAAGCCCGCCCAGCCGCCCCTTTCAAGTCGAATGAATGAGCGAATCTCTTTCTCTTCTGGCCACCGCTTTGTTATTCTGCATTTGAAGCTGCACCACAACTTCAGACACTTTGTAATTCTGCATTCCTCGCTTTGTCTTTAAGCGAGAGGTATTTCTCATACTCTTCCAGAAAGAAGTGCTGAAGAGTCTTGGCTATCCAGTGCAGACCAACAGCTTCTATGTGATCATCAAGCAGTTGCTAGAGCGGGTGGCACCGGTGATGGTCGACAGCGCTGGCGTCAAGCAGATCCTTTCCTACGTGCGTGACTCACTCCTCGGCCAAGGCGACATCGACATCCAAATGGGCGTCACCAACTCAGCACTGCGCGGGCTGCAGCTGCTGCACGTACGTACGCGCTAAAATTCTCTCTGTGCACATCCCTGTGTTGCATAGTGATACTGCTAGATGCTCCAAGACGAGACCAGTGAAAGCACACACAGAGCTCTTGTGTTGCTTTTATTGTCATTGTCTCAGTGCACTTAGCAGGGTCAATATGACACTTTACCAACCAGCTTGGACCCATTCTCTAGTCATCTTGTTCACTCAGTTCAGCCTGCATTTGGCTAACGTTTCAGAGTGCCATTTAAATGTCTTACAGAACTGGAAGCTGAGGGCATACCTTACTATCAATATGGGAGGATAGCTATACAGTAGCTGTGCACAAACTATACTGTGTAACTAGTGACAGAAAGATGTCGGAAGCATCACATTATCAAACACGAAGGTACCCTTTAGAAATTGGTGAGCAGCGTGTGTATTTGATATTTTAGTTGTGATAAATGCATCTCTTAGTTGTCCTCAATGTTAAATCCCAAACATGGATGAACAGTGCATCCTGTTCGCTTTCACAAACACTGTCTTTTGGTTCCGTGCTCATTTCTTGGACACCAGTTATGGCTTGAGCTATAACTGGTGTTCATCAGGAAAATTAATCATGAAGGGCGCGGGTGGCCCAAAGTAAATGCTGATGAGTTTAAGTAGGTGATATTGTATCGACTCAAGTTACTGCCAAGTGTGAGCTGGTGTTCAAGAATGAGTGAGCACCTCTGAGTGGGACTGAATATGTGTGCTGGTGTGATAGGAACAACCCTAAAAGCCAAAAAGATCTTTTTCCTTTTTAACCTTGGTTTCTGCACCCCCGAAATTGACCATCTGTGTGGATGCAGTCGGTAAAATTGTCAACTTTCTAGTAGCATCCGTCGTACTTTTATTGGCATGATTAGTTCTAATTAATGCCTTTCTTGTCATTTCTTCGCTCATTTGTCTTGGTATTCTAGCACCAATCACTCGCAATGCTGGTAGCACATTATGTAAAAACAATCTTAAAGGGCCCCTAAACCACCTGCGATATTTTTCAAATATTTCAAGCAAACACGCATATCGTGTTCAGAATGCAGTGATGATCAAGAGTGCCACACGTTGCAGTGCCGAGAGCTACAAGCACCCTACAAATTCCAAGAAACAACCCCTTCTTCTCCTCTCTCCAGACCTTTCCAGCCTCCCTCCCCAGTGACGCATGCTGTGTCAGGATGTTGCGCTTGTGACCTCAACAATCGCTGCTATGATTGAGCGAACAAAATTCTACAACATTTGATTAATCATCAAGCAGCTGCCCGCGCTCCTTACCGTTTTTTGTCATGTTGCCCTCGTGTGTTTGCTTGCCAATCGGCAGCTGCAGCCTGTAGCGCAACTACCAACACACAGGGTTCGTAGCGGTCCTGGAAACCCTTGAAAACCCTGGAATTTGATAATAGCATTTTCAAGGCCTTGAAAACCCTTGAATTTTTTCAGGTCCTTAAATTTCCTTGAATCTCGTCAATAGGCTTCGGTTCAGCCAGTTTTAGCGGATTCTGCTTGAACGCCTGGCAACTATGTACTGGAGCCAGCAAGGCATCCAATCCAATCCACTCCTGTAGCTACTGCGCAGTACGACAGTCTGGCGTGGTTGCAGCGGTAGCGACGACCAAAGCTAAGCCTACCCTACCGGTGTAGTGGGAAACATGGTCTGTGGATAGTCCAAGTCGTCTTCTGCAGCTGCAATATGCCGGGAAAATGCAACTTCCAGCACGCGTGGTTAAGGGGAGACGCTCCTCGAAAAAGTTTTTTTTTTTTTATTTCTAGTAATAGAGACTTGAAAAGTTTGTTATTAGTATAGTTTTTCATGCAGATTTCAAATATGCAATCATTTTTTGTGTAGCTGCTATAATTATCGAGTTATGCCATAAACAATAGCAAAAAGTTACATTTTTTGCGGGCACTCTTTTATGTACTAAACTTTCAGTAAAAGCACTGTGTCTGATCTTATTTGACTCTTGGTAGATTGAAAAGTGCAAATATCTATATAGATATGTCACAGAAATATTGGAACCAAGAAAAAAAAAATTGTATTGAATGACTTATTATTTTCAATCTCCCTTGAAACAATAAGCTAATATTTTCACAACTAATGCTGGTAGGCATTGCAATTTAGAGTAGATATTTGCATTCTGCATGTGTTGAAGAATATGTGTGCCAAGTTTCATTACTATACAATGAATATAAGTTTCTAAAAGGCTGCCCGGAAAACGTGAAACTGTCAGAAAAAAATGAAAATGAGAAAAACAAGTTTGAAAGTTCGCAAAGTTGGCATTTATTAGGAAATCATTCTTTTTGCATCAAATTGGGGCACAATGAAAAGTACCTTGCCTTGAATGCACTGCAAGTGTCTAGAAGTCCCCTGCACCATAGCTTGGTCCTTCACGGCTCTTGCGGTCAGTGTCCTCAACACGAGCTCTCTTCGCTGTGTTGCGACGGTGTGCCCTCGCTTCTGCAGTTTGCTTCAGGTTCATCTTCCTGATGCGCATGACGTCACAGTGGTCACCATGTGTGGCCAGATCTTGTGAGGGGAGAATTCCAATGCCTTCGAGCACTTCTTCAAAGCCCCTGTGGCCTTTGTTGTACCAGAGTACAGCAAGAGCGGTGGCTGTCTCCACAGTTGTTCTGGAGGCGAACTTTGTTTTTGGACATAGCAGCCATATCTTGCTGTTCAGCGATTCGGCTGCATTCTGTGTCTTGCCATGAAGGCACCGAATAAGGAGTTTCTCCTCTGTAAGGCGCTTGTAGATAGGCATAATTGCCAATCCTTGAGCCTTCGTCAACAGTGGGGTGTGGCGTGGTGCAGGCTCCCCCAGTGCTTCCGCACGCTTGTGCTTGCACCACGAATTTGGTCCCGCGGGGCAAAAGTTGTGGCTACTGGCACCATCACTGGAGCAGCAATGAAAATACGATGCCCATATGGCAGTGTACATATTTCGGACACTGTCCTTGTTGCTCGTGATGGCGATCTTGTAATATGTTTGTAGTTTTATTATTGTCGCATCTTTCAGTTTTTCGCCTCGTGGCAGTGGCGTTGCCAATTTCCGTAGGGCAGTTCCCAAGCGCTTTGCAACGTGGTTCGTGCACTCTTCTTTGTCAATGGGGGTGTCACAGTATACATTTGCCTCGCAGACTGCAGTGTAGGCCTTGCTGTCACCATCACTTAGGAAGCTGGTGAATCGCAGTGGAGTTTCATAAGACAAGGTCCTCTGCCATATATTGACAGCAGCCGCAGGTTCCATTGCATGGGATGAGCAGTCAGTGTTTTTTTGGCAAACTGGAAGATGAAAAGCTCGCCATATCTCTTCATCCTCCCCAAGGTCCCTGTGTATACTGCAAGCATGGCAGTAGTTCGAAAGAACTTCAAAATCGAGGCAGAGCCCCGTGTCCAGGGACACGACTGTGCCCACTCCATTGTGGCTTTTATGACCTCTTTTCTGCCAGGTGCCATCAAACATGACTGGCACATCTCTGCCGTCGACTGCGTCCTTCGTGATGTTTCGTGCCTGGTGCAAGTTTTTGCTCACTGCCGTCATCGCCGCACCATGGAGCTTCTTGCAAATGCCGTTGAATGTCTTGTGATGCATCGGGCTCGGAAGACCGAGAATCGCACAAAATCGTGAAAGTTGGTCGAGGCCTGCGCCTATAGCGCGTGCTGCCAGAACTGCCTTCACGTTTACAGCAAAGCTGTCACGCGAGCTGCCGCTGTCAAAACGAGCGCTCGTTCCTTGGTCCCCGGCCGAAGCAGTACGTCTCGACGTGTGCGTGAACGAAAGTGCAGATTCAGGGCAATCAGAATTTTGACAGCACAGTTCGAGGAATGCCGAAAGTCCTTTGCGCTTTCCAGCTGCCTCTCGCACGCCGAGCTTCCGTTCGCGGCAGGTTGGGCATTGCGCACCCGCCACAAGTGCCGTCAGCGCATCGATTTCGCAAAGCAGCATGTTCGCAGTAGCAGCATCTACCGGTCTACGTTCACTCTCGAAGAATCCAATCTTCCTTTGGGATGCACTGACGAATTCCACGGCAGCGGCTATTTCACAACCACTGTCGCAGGGTTCGGTGACGGTGTTAGGCCGTCACCGAACCCTGCGTTGGGGCGTTGGTCGGGGCGTTGGTCGGGGGCGACATCGTCGTTCGCTGTCGCTTTGCGAAGCGTCCGACGCCGTTTCCCTCGATACTTGTGGCGAGTTCTGAACTTTCGATTATCTGAACTGCACTTCTTCGGGCTTGCCATGACGCAAAAATGCAGAGAAACGCAGAAAAACTCGATCGCGACGTCCGAGGCTTCGCTCTTTTGCCGGAGAGATAGGAGGGGGAGGAGCGTGGAGCGCACCGCCGTCCAATGGCGGCCTCGCGCTGTGTGCCGCGATATTCAAAACGCGTGACGTACGCGTTGTTTTTCTCGTTTTTTGTTTATTCTGCGTGAAGGCACGAGACTGGCTACTAGTGGATTATGAAGGATACGGCCTTCGCAGCATGCGTGCACGATTGCAAATGGCGGCCAACGCGTCGTTTTCGCGACAGGACGACGCGAACTTCGCCGTTTTTCGCGACTTTCGCGCATTTCTCGCGTCACCGCTGCCCACTTGGAAGCATTTTTTGATAATTTCTCGTGCGAATTTCAGCTTGATATTTTCAGAAGTAATAGATTATAGTCCAAGGATGCCAATACAGCCGGAAAAAAAAAAGCGAGAATTTTCCGGAAAACCGCGACTTTTCGACCCGCGTCTCCCCTTAACCGGTGCTGCTTATAAAGAGTGGATTTCTCCGGACACATCGAACTCGCATCGAGCTAAGTGCAAGGTATGTGCAAAAACATTCGACGTGTCGTCAATGGGGAAGTCTGCCCTCAAAAGTCACATGAAAAGCGCAAAGCATGTGGAGAACATGACAGCAACCACAGCTCATAGTACTGTGCGGAGCCACTTCACAGCTGTTGAGAAGCAACGCGTCGAGCCAACTCCTTCAAGTTCAACGTCGTCGGATGTGAGCAGCCTGTGCAAAGCTCATGAGAGTGTGGTCGACGCGGAGATACTGTGGACCCTGAAAATGGTCACGGCGCACTACTGCTACAAATCGTCCGCACATACGGGGGACCTTTTCAAGAAAATGTTCCCGGACAGTGAAATCGCTAAGGCATTTTCCTGCAGTGAGAGGAAATCTGCATACGTGGTGTGCCATGGTCTGTGACCGTTTTTTCTCTCGTGCCTGCAACGCGAATTGGAGCAGTCGGACGGTTACACCGTTCTGTTCGACGAGTCTTCGAACGACTACCTGCAGAGGAAACAAATGGACATTCATGTGCGCTACTGGAGCACAATGCCCGAGCGGGTGACCACGAGGTTTTATACGTCGGTGTTCATGGGACATTCAACTGCCGAAGACCTTCAAGAGAAGCTTCTGGGTGCCCTGGAAGATTTGCCGCTGGCGAGAGCTGTTCAGCTGTCAATGGATGGCCCCAATGTAAACCTGAAGTGTTTTAGAGGAATGCAGGAATACCTGCAGCAGAACCATCAAGTTCAGTGTTTGGACCTGGGCACTTGCGGACTTCATACCATACATAACGCGTGCAAGGCGGGTGTTGTTGCCAGCAAGTGGGGCCTAGAGAATCTCCTTTCAAGCCTCAGTGCCATTTTTCATGATGCGCCAGCGCGAAGGGAAGACTTCTCTACTGTGACAGACCAAGTAACATTTCCTCTCAACTTCGCTTCTCATCACTGGGTAGAAAATGTTCCCGTCATTGAACGTGCCATAACCCTCTGGGGTGACGTGCAAAAGTATGTCGCATGTGCAAAAAAGAAAGAGGTGAACTTGCCAAAGTGTGCATCGTTCATCCAGCTCAGCGACTTTTGCCAGGACCCACTGCTGTTGGCCAAACTGAAGTTTGCTGTGGGCATCGCGATGATTCTAAAACCGTTCCTCACGGAATATCAGCTGGACAAACCACTGGTGTTCTTTTTGAAAAGAGATCTCGAGTGCCTCGTGAGGAAGCTTCTTGCGAGATTCGTGAAGGGCTCGGTGCTGTCCGCTTCCACAGGAGTTGTCGGCATGCTGAAGATGGACGTCGCAGACCAAATAACCATGTATCATCAGAGAAAGTTGATATTGGGCACGCTGCTGAACAAGTACTCAAAGCCGCGAAGGTGAGCGCCAAAGATGTATTTGCCTTTAGGATGGAATGCAAACAGTTCCTTGTAAGCACAACCAAGAAGATTCTGGAGAAAAGCCCACTGACATACCATCTGGTTAGGAACCTGTCTTCTCTTGATCCCCGTCAAATGGCCTCAAAGCCAGATGACTGCCTTGCAGGCTTCAGAAAGGTCCTAGACGCACTTATTGCAGTTGGTCGATTGGGTGAGCATGAGCGCAATTCTGTCCTTGAGGAATACACAGAACTTCTGCAAGAAAAGAAACACAACCTGCGGCAGTTTGACAAACACACTCTTGGCCTGGACGAGTTCTACCTTGAGTTGTTGAAGGGTGACTCATCCTACATGCACTTGTGGAAGGTTATCCGGCTTCTTCTCATCTTGAGCCACGGGCAGGCAACTGTTGAAAAAGGCTCCATACCGGCACAATTTGTCGAAGCACGAGCAAGCGCAGCAAGAACACCAGGAAGCCAAGAATCATGGAGTTGACGAAGTCGCAGTAACCAAAAGTGGACATTGTTTCGAAGAGCACGTTGCAATGGCATATGTCATGTGAGGTTGGGAGGCGCACTCAAGCGAAAAAGGTGAAACGACTTCAGCCAATAAACAAAGGGTAGCAAAAAAAGTGAAATAAGCAATCTTTTTCCGATCATCATACCCGTGCATCTCCTTTCTTACAGAACTGTTTCAAAAAATTCTCATGGCTACAAGTTCATTGTAGGCTTTAGCGACTATGCACCTGAGCTCACTGTTTGCTTTCATAAAAGTGGTTGGGGTGGGGAGAGAGAGAGAGAGCATCCGCTGCACTCAGTGGCAGGAACGTCTGAGTTAGCGAGTGCGCGGCGCGGCGCGAGCCATCTGCCACCGCGCCTGCACTCCTGCTGTGCCAGGAGCGCGCACCTGTTGCTTAGCTCGGGGTGCGGGTGAAACCACCTTTACAGGAACGTTACATGTAGACTAATATACCGTATTTAGTCACATAATCCTCGCACTTTTTTTGGTGGAAAACCGATGCAAAATTGGGGGGTGCGAGAATTGCACGGGGAATACTTTCCACGAAAATGTACAGAGTGAAAGAGAAAACGAAGTGGCCGCAAATCGGGATTCTCACTCCAGCAACTAACAGCAAGCTTTGAGAAGTACTAGTTAAAACTTACCTCAACAATAAAAGCACAGGTTCAACTCAAGGCAAGATTTATTTGAGACACAAAAAGTGCAAGCAAATAGTCGAGAAGTAGAATACCATACGCAAAGCTTGTGGGCGTTGCGGGCGTAGCGGTAGCGTTCGTTGCTCAACGGGAGCCCTCAAAAGGTAAGCGTAGGACGTCAGTATTGAGCTGATGGCTATTTAACAGAATCGTCTGCAGTTTCATTCTGAAGACATAAACTTTACCATCAATCCCAGTTTTAGGCACACGGCAGGCCCAACGTGTCTTAGTGGCTTTCAGCTGCTGTAACCAGTAGCAAGCACAATGCTTGTAGACTCCAAAGGGCCTACCGGCGGCCTTGTAGCCGTTGTTTAGTGCATGATCTATCACTTTCAACTTGAAAGCAGCTGTGTAGCTTCAGTATCGCCCCATATCGTGACAAGATTGCTGACACAACATACAAAACACGCCGCAACGCGCACTTGCCACTATGGCTTGGCTTGTTTGGATTGAATCTTCGTGCAATAATAGTGCGCTTGATGCTTAAGAGATGGCACCAAATGGCGTGCACTATTATCATCAGTGGGTGGAACGAGCAGACGATATTATTACGGCAGTTTTCGGGGGTGCGATAATTACTCTATGAAAAAAAAAGAAATCGTATTTTTTCTGGGCGATGTGGGGGGTGCGAGAATTATGCAAGTACGAGGATTGCGCAAGTAAATACGGTACACCTATTTGTCCATTTCAAATATTTGAAATATCAAATAAATAAATTTGAATCAAAGTGCTCGAATGTTCGCTCTAGCCTATTTCGTTGTAGACTCGTGCAGATTTGCCACTTCACAACTACATTTCGACCTCTAGGTGGTTTGAAATCCCTTCAAGAGAATTTTTCTGTGGACTAGTTGGTTCATAATGCAAAACTGAAATGCACAAGTTTGGTACAGAGCATAAAAGAGTACACACAGCATAGGACATGTATCTATGTGGGCTCTTCTGTGTCCAGTAGTTAATTTTCGCTCTAACTTCCTTGTCTCGTTCATTCAGCTGTGGTCTTCGGAACTGTGACGCAGGTGCTGGCTTCCGCGTTTCCTGCAGCCTTTATTGGGGAAGAAGTGTACAGCCTGCTCCTGTCGTTCCTAAATTCGGACGACTGCAGGGCATCCGAGATGACATTACAGATCTTCACCTTTGTGGGTGCCGACATTGACCAGCGTTTCCCAAACGTTGCGCAGTAAGTTTTTAACCCCCCTGATCGTTGATTTAATTGAAGCTAGCCAGGGTTGCTTGGCTGGACGATAATGGTGCCGCACGTTGCACAGGCGGTTGCTACCCGTGGTGCAGAACTTTATCGAAAACGGCACTGCGAAACAAGCCAAGTATGCTGTCGCTTGCCTCAACGTCATCGTTGGAAACAAGGAGCGTGTCTTTGGGCAGATAATTGATGTAAGTAAGCATGTCATGCATTGAACGTGCACTTTGGTGGACCACACCATTGGTAACGGTTGTATGTGCGGTCTTGAAAGTTGTAAAAGAAATGCAGTAGTAGAAAGCTTGGTGTGTTACTGGATATTAATTACGAGACTATTTCAGTGCACACAGGACAAAGATATAAGGAAGTGGAAGAACATTTTTTTTTTTTTTGTCTAATTCCTTACGTCAATGCCTGTTCGGTGCATGCACCCTTAAAGTGTCCTGTTGAGAAGTGTGGCAGCTTGGGCTAGTTGGTATGGCATGACGATAGTTATAGCGCGAGAACAAAACGACGATACAGAGACAAGGACACGAAAGACACGAGCGCTAACTTCCAACTCCAGTTGGAAGTTAGCGCTCGTGTCTTTCGTCCAGTTGGAAGTTAGCGCTCGTGTCTTTTGTCCAGTTGGAAGTTAGCGCTCGTGTCTTTCATGTCCTTCTTGTCTCTGTATCGTCGTTTTGTTCTCGCGCTATAACTATTGTCATGCCATACCAACTAGCCCAAGCTGCCACACTTCTCAACAGGACACTTTAAGGGTGCATGCACCGAACAGGCATTGACGAGCGCTAACTTCCAACTGGTGACGAGCGCTAACTTCCAACTCCAGTTGGAAGTTAGCGCTCGTGTCTTTCGTCCAGTTGGAAGTTAGCGCTCGTGTCTTTTGTCCAGTTGGAAGTTAGCGCTCGTGTCTTTCGTGTCCTTCTTGTCTCTGTATCGTCGTTTTGTTCTCGCGCTGTAACTATCGTCCTGTTGAGGTCTGAAAAGTTTTTTCATTCACGGTGCACCAACATGATCTATGTGAGTGCACTGAGCGCTGCGCTCTTTCCAATGAAAGGGAAGCATACAGTACACTTTAAATAGTGCTGCGCCACACACACTGCCAAGCAGATTGCTAAAGATGCTTATTGTTATAGGATTTTCCCTGATAAGTCATACTGGGCGCGTTTGTCGGTGACTGCCATCATCCATCCCGCCTTGCCTCTTTTCTGGTGCTTATTTGCAAAAGGCATTGCAACAATCTCGTTCAAGTCGGAATTATTGATTGATGCCCCTCTGCCTCCTCCTCTTCTTTTTTTTTGTCTATCTCTCTCCAGTTGCTCTGACACTGTGGTGCAGTTAACTTTCATGCAACAACAGGTTATTGTAGTATGCACTAAACAATAGGCATTTAGCAAGTTTTAAAATGAGGGATTTTTCTTAGGTGCAAGAGAAGTGCTTCAAAACTAGCAATTCATTACAGCACCTGAAGCAACACTTTACACTGGAGTCAGCGTACTTCCGCACGGCACTGGTGTCCATTGGACACATAGCAATGCTCTGTCCGGACATGTTTGGAACCCAGGTGAAGAGCATTGTCTCCAAGGTGGTCGTCAAGGACCTGATAATGGCTGATCGGGTGAGCTGATTGTGCACATGCGTTTAACCGTGGATCACTTGCATGGGAGTGAATTACCTGTGACTGTGCAGGAGGATCCACGGATCTCAGAAACGACGTGGTGTGAATTCGATGCCCTTCCGGAAGAGACCAAAGTCAAGGTAACGTGCTGCCTCCCTTTTTACTCTTGTCCTTATTGGGAGGGCATAGCTTTAATCATCAACCTTATTTCTTGGGTGGCTTTTATGACAATTAGCAAAGTGATTAATTGGTTTCCCAAGGTGGTACCATTGAAATTTCAAGGCTGTATGTCAACAACTTCTCTACACACAAGCTTTTTCTCTTTCTAGCCTTGTTTTAAGCCTGGATGGCTTTAGAAACCAAAAGAGGTTTTAAATTGAAATGCTTGCAAAAGTAACAGCTTGACACGTGCCAAATTCTGAAAGGGTCGAACTTATAAAGCGAAACTGTTGCAACCTGAAACGTTTTTCAAGGTTTATTCCAGAAAAACGTTCAACCTAGTAGACCTTGCCGTAAAAAATAAATCTGTATTACAAGCCTGGAGAGAAGCAAGAAAAATGGTTTTATTAAATAGTAATTGTGGCTTGAGCTCCCACTGCAGTTGTCTTATCGAGCAAGTGGTGACAGGGATGTTCCATCATGTGTAGATTGAAGGCATGAAGATGATGGTACGTTGGCTGGTGGGGCTACGAACCGCATCGGCTTCTGCCAGTTCCACTCTTCGCCTCCTGGTCACAGTCATCAGCCACGGGGGTGACCTCATGGAGAAGGAGCATGTTTCGTAAGTCTTCTTGTGTTACAAGTCATGATCCCTATCAGACTCATTGGTATCGATCAGTGGCTGTGAGAGCTTCAGGGCTTGGACGGAATCACTCCCTGTGCTTTTAACTATCAACTTTTGGGACCGGGAGTGATTATGTCCGTCATATAAAATCTAGTTTTACCTGCACTAGTGAAAATGTTATTTACATAATCGAATGTTCATATTGTCATAAAGTACGTTAGTGAAACAGGACAGCCTGGTAATGTTAGATTATCTAACTGCCATCGCGCGGATGCGGCGAGGAAATTGCTTAAAGCAGTGGCACATTTTAATGTAGCAGGACACAACTTCAACGATCTCAATTTCTACATTCTTCAGTCTTACATTTAGTTCGGAAGAGACAGAAAATATACAGAGTCGCACCTTATTCGCAAGTTCAATTCACTCCAGCCAGTAGGTATAAACATTTCTAAAGACTCTTGAATTTGTTTGCTGTGGTACATACAAGGGTGCAACAGCTGCGCCAATTGCACCAATTTATACACTTCCCCATTTTTCCGCCAAGCTGCACCAAAACCATGATTTTTTTTCAAATTGCACCTCACTGCGCTAAAATGCCTGTTCTGCCTTAAAATTTTCCTAGTTGCATCGTCCCCATGATGGATAATCGGTGCCGTGGTCGGGCCAACAGGTGTGCGCCGTTGTTACTTTATCTGGTCGGACATGCCTCGCAAGCAAGCCGAGAAGTGGTGCTCTATACCTAACCCCCATCGTGAAAGAAAAAAAAGGGGGGAGGGAAGGAAGGGGGTGTAGCGATTCGAAAATTTCTTAACTTCGATTTAAGTCGTGCAGAACGCTTCTTAAGTCACCTTTGCTTCAGTGCATCGGCGCCCTGCAGAAAAACATTCATATTTGAAAGTGGCTGTTAACACTAGTCTTGAGACAATTCACTTTTTTTTTTACTACTCATTCGTGTATACGCCGCATAATTGTTAGTAGTAGTATTATCGCTGACTTCTGAAAAGGTTACTGGCTTACTGGAAATCATTTGGAGCAGTGCATAACATTTCTGCGGCCCTAAAAAAAAAAAAATTACTCAGTTTCTTTTTTCTCTTCTACTACTTAGTTTTACAAATCTTCTGAATTTCATAGTCGCCAGCTTGGCAGAACCACATTTCACATTGCAGAGTCTAAGGATTTGACAGGTGTGCCATATTCTAATGTAGACTTCATTGTTTCTACATAACTGTGGTTCAGAATACGCTACTTTTATGGAAATTGCGGTACTCATGTTCACTCTACACAATTTTGGTGATGTTGAGATGTTTGTATGCATTTTTTTCTTTTTCTAGATATGTCTTTTTAGTACTGCTCCAAATTCAATCTTTTATAGTAAAAGAATAGATGCTTTTTTTTTTTTTTTGCCTTAACCTGTTCAGACTTCGTATTTTAGTGCTCCAAAAATAACATTTTTTCTGCTCCAAAAGTTGCTCTAAATTCTATTTTGGCTGTTGCTCTCCTGTACGTATACAAAGTAAACCACCGCAGGTTAAGCCTTCCGTCTAGGAATTTCAAACGTGCCATTGTTAATTTCTGACAACCAATTCCACAACTGGGACTCCGCGACACGTGTACATTTTCACCTTCCCACCGCTCCGTTATTTTCTTTTTATTCACGGAATACCTGTTGTGATGACGTTTATTGAACCGGAGAAGTCGCAACGATGTCGCAACGAAAAATGGCCGTACGACAAGTCTGGCAAAAGGCGGCCCAGGTTCTCGTGCAATCAGAGCACAGGGTTTTTCCTTCTCTTTGGAAGGCGCATACACGTTAGTGCGTATGCTCCACTACAATACCCCCCGGGTTGAAGAGTAGCCATCCTGGCGACTCAGGGAGTAGGCACAATGAGGGGGTCGTAGTAGGGCTTGAGACGGTCGACGTGTACGGTCTCGCGTCCTCGACGGCGCAAATCTGGCGATTGTGTTAGGGGCTCGACGATGTAATTCACTGGTGAGGTTGCGTCAATGACACGGTATGGACCATGGTACCGGGCCAGAAGTTTAGAAGACAGGCCAGGAACGTGCGGGGGCACCCAAAGCCACACGAGGGAGCCAGTACGAAACGTAGGCGCTATGTGATGAGCGTCGTCATGTCGGGTTTTTTGTAGACCTTGAGCCTCACTTGTCATAGACCGAGCCAACTGACGGCAGTCTTCAGCGTATCTGGCGACTTCCGAAAGCGGGGAGCACTCCGATACATCAGGGCGGTGCGGGAGTATGGTGTCGAGTGGGTGGGATGGTTCGCGGCCGTACAACAGAAAGAACGGGGAAAAACCGGTAGTCGCTTGCGTCGCGGTGTTGTAAGCGAAGGTAACAAAAGGCAAGACAGCGTCCCAGTTAGTGTGGTCGGAGGAGGTGTACATCCTCAGCATGTCTCCAAGTGTGCGGTTGAACCGTTCAGTGAGACCATTCGTCTGTGGATGGTATGCGGTAGATTTCCGGTGGATGATGTTGCATTCAGCGAGAATAGCTTGGATGACCTCCGACAGGAACACTTGACCCCTATCACTGAGTAATTCCCGTGGAGCCCCATGGCGGAGAATGAAGCTGCGGAGAATGAAGAGTGCAACTTCGTGGGCGGTCGCTGCTGGTAGAGCTGCAGTCTCAGCGTAGCGTGTCAGATGATCGACGCCGACAATAATCCACCGGTTTCCAGAGCGACTATATGGGAGGGGGCCATAGAGATCGATACCCACGCGGTCGAATGGGCGAGCCGGGCATGGGAGCGGCTGTAACATGCCAGTAAGGTGCCGCGGAGGTGTCTTGTTCTGTTGGCAAGTGGTGCAAGACTGAACGTATTTCTGCACAAAGCGATACATTCCTCGCCAGTAATATCGTTGGCGCAGCCTTTCGTAGGTTTTCAGGACACCTGCGTGAGCACTTTGAGGGTCTGCATGGAAATTCATGCAGATGTCAGAGCGCATATGAGTTGGGACAGCAAGGAGCCACTTCCGACCACCAGGCATGTAGTTGCGGCGGTACAGAATGCTGTCTCGCACGGAAAAGTGGGCTGCTTGTCGGCGTAGCGCTCTCGTGGAAGGGACAGCAGACGGATCGGTAAGGTAGTCGAGTAACAATGCAAGGTATGGATCTTTACGCTGCTCCGAAAGCATGTCAGTGGTGTCTATTGGTGACAAGGTGGTAAAAAGTGGTGACAGAGAAGCCACATCTGGGGTTAAGGCGATCGCGAAAGTGCATCGGCATCTGCATGCTTGCGACCGGAACGATATACTACACGGATGTCGTATTCTTGCAATCGAAGTGCCCAACGTCCCAGGCGTCCGGACGGGTCTTTCAATGTGGACAGCCAACATAGAGCGTGGTGGTCTGTGACCACGTCGAAAGGGCGGCCGTAAAGGTACGGGCGAAACTTCGTCAAGGCCCAGATTATGGCCAAACACTCCTTCTCTGTCACGGAGTAATTCAATTCAGCCTTCTTGAGAGCGCGACTTGCATAGGCGACTACGTATTCGGCTTGGGTGCCTTTCCGTTGTGCCAAAACTGCACCAAGACCGATGCCACTTGCATCGGTGTGAATTTCTGTGGCAGCAGCGGGGTCGTAGTGACGAAGAATGGGTGGTGAGGTCAGCAGGCGGCGCAGCTGGCGAAATGCGTCGTCACATGCAGGTGACCATGCAGATATACCTTTGCTGTTGGAGAGCAGACTTGTTAGAGGTGCGATGATGGACGCGAAGTTGGGCACGAAGCGACGAAAGTAGGAGCAGAGACCGACGAAACTTCTTAGGGCTTTCAGTGATGTGGGCAACGGGAAGTCAGCGACAGCCCGAAGCTTATCGGGATCCGGAAGAACACCGTCTCTTGTGATGACATGTCCCAAGATGGTTAGTTTTCGTGCTGCGAAAGTGGCACTTTTTGGAGTTAAGTTGTAGGCCCGCAGAAGTTAGACACGTCAGAATCTCGTGGAGGCGAACAAGATGTGTCGGGAAATCAGACGAAAAGACTACGATGTCGTCCAGGTAACACAAGCAAGTTTTCCACTTATGGGCACGCAAGATGGTATCGATCATGCGCTCAAATGTGGCAGGTGCGTTGCAGAGCCCAAATGGCATCACTTTGAACTCATATAGGCCATCTGGCGTTACAAAGGCTGTTTTAGGGCGATCACATTCAGCCATTGGCACCTGCCAATACCCAGAACGCAGATCCAAGGATGTAAAGTACTCGGCGCCTTGTAAACAGTCAAGAGCATCGTCTATTCGTGGTAGCGGGTAAACATCTTTCTTCGTAATCTTGTTTAAGCGGCGATAGTCCACGCAAAATCGAACGGTGCCATCTTTTTTCTTTACCAGAACGACAGGTGATGACCAAGCGCTTTGAGAAGGCTGTATCACTCCACGTTTAAGCATGTCGTCTACTTGCTCCGTAATGACGCGGCGCTCTTCGGCGGAAACGCGGTAAGGACGCTGTCGCAGAGGCAAATGTGAGCCGGTGTCAATAGTATGAGTGATAGTCGTGGTGCGGCCCAAAGCAGGTTCTTGAAAGTCGAAAGAAGAGCGAAACTTGTTAAGGAGAGCAACAAGTTGGCGGCGATGCGAGAGGGGAAGGTCTGCGTCAATAGCATTGTCGAAGGCTGACAAACTTGATGTCTCAGACGCATGAGTTATTGCGGCAATGTGACATGGCGTTTCGTCGGGAAGAATAATATCATCGATATGGTCAACAGGTTGCACATATCCCAACGTTTCACCACGAAGTAAGCTGATGGGGTAGTTGCAGTGGTTGGTAACCAGCATTACGGTTAAACCAGATGCAATTGTAAGAACGGCAAATGGGAGAACGATGCCCTTGCGTTCAGTAAAAACAGGAGATGGCGTAAACACCACCGTGGCGTCAGGTTGCGCCACACATGAAAGGCTTACAGGGACCGAAGCTTCCGGGGGCAAGGTGATGTCGTCGTCAGCGATGAGTTTGCTGAGCCGAGGAGACCGGTCGGGTGGTGGAAATTCATATGTTGGCACAAGGGACACTTCGGCACGGGAACAATCGATGATAGCTTCATGACCTGATAAGAAATCCCAACCGAGGATAAGGTCATGAGAGCAAGATGGCAGAACAAAAAACTGTACGACGTACAAAACGTCTTGGATGACGACGCGCGCCGTACACAGAGCCGAGGGATGAATGCGTTGCGCGCTAGCCGTGGACAGCACCATGCCACAGAGAGATGTGGTCACTTTCTTCAGTTTCCGACAAAATTTGGCGTCCATCACAGAAACGGCGGCCCCGGTATCAATTAACGCTAATGTGGCGACTCCCTCAACATCGACATCAACAACATTTTTCGGCGAAAACGGAGGCCTTGGGAATTGCGCACAAGTTGCAGTTCTTGCCTCCGGAACTGCACTGATTAGTTTCCCTCCTCAGGAGGTGGTCGACGACGCATAGGCGATGGCGACCGGCGACGAGGGGATGGGAAACGAGCAGTCGATGGGCGGCGATCCGAGTCTGAGTGCCTCTGTTCATATGCAGATGCGGTGGCCTGCTGCGGCGCGTAGGTAGGAGTTCCGAAGTATGCGTTTGCAGGTGTGGGGCGACGGCGGCAGAAGCGTGCAATGTGGCCAGCGATGCCACAGGCGAAGCAGATAGGACGATTGTCTTGGGTGCGCCACTCATTAGATCGATGGAAAAAGCGAGGTGAGGGCCTGTAAACTGGAGGCGAGGCCGGAGGAGGTGGAGCTGATAAGGCGACTGGATGCGGTGGGGGCCGCGCGACCACAGCTGCGTAGCTGAAGGTGGTGCAGGTGGTGCGTAGCCGACAGCTGAGAGATTAGGTGCTACTGAAGTGCATGGGTAAGGGGCCTGCACTGTAGGGAGGACATCACAAATTTCCGTGCGTATGGCCTGCTGCAGTGTCGTAGGCAGGCTTGCGGTGGGCGCGTCGCTATGCGGCAGCAGGGAGAGCTGTCGGGCGACTTCCTCCCTGATGAAGTCTTTGATCTGGTTGGACAGACTTTCTTGGCAAACGTTGGCATTTGTGAGTGCGACGGCCGAGATCGAATCAGGCGGTGGGACACTCTGTCGGGCGATGGAACGCTGACGGCGCAATTCATCAAAGCTCTGGCAGAGGCTTACGAGGATTGCCACCGTGTTCGGGCTTTTCGCTAGCAACATCTGGAATGCGCCATCCTCGATGCCCTTGAGAATCTGCCGAATTTTCTCTTTTTCGGGCATAGATGGATTCACACGCCTGCAGAGGTCGAGCACGTCCTCTATGTAACTAGTAAATGTCTCGCCAGGCTGCTGGGCTCGGTGGCGCAGGCGCTGGTCAGCGCGGAGCTTGCGGACCTCTGGTCGGCCGAACGCTTCAGTGACGAGTGTCTTAAAGGAGGACCAGTTGGCGATGGCGGTTTCGCGGTTCGTAAACCAAAGTTTAGCTACGTCTGCCAAGTAAAATATAACGTAGGCGAGCTTAGAGTCGTTGTCCCACTTGTTGCTGGCGCTTACGCGTTCGTACAAGGAGAGCCAGGCCTCGACGTCTTGCTCACCACTGCCGCTGAAGATTGGTGGGTCCCGTTGGCGAGTAGCGCCGGGGCAGGTAGACGGGACAGCCGGTGGTGCTGGCTGGGCTGGGATGGGCTGGTTGGCGACTGCGTCAGTCATGTTTTGCAGTGGTCTCTCGGGCAACTTGCGAGAGCGGAGCTCCAGGTCTGCTTGGGGATCTCAGCAGCCTCCACCAAATGTGATGACGTTTATTGAACCGGAGAAGTCGCAACGATGTCGCAACGAAAAATGGCCGTACGACAAGTCTGGCAAAAGGCGGCCCAGGTTCTCGTGCAATCAGAGCACGGGGTTTTTCCTTCTCTTTGGAAGGCGCATACACGTTAGTGCGTATGCTCCACTACACTGTTTCTTCTTCACTCATACAATTCGTCACAGCCCAGCGCCCCTGGTTCTCTCACACCTGCATATTCAATTTTGCCCCTCCCCCTTCTTTGTTAGGATAGAATAGAGGGTAAAAAGCGTAGATACGCTGGCGCTAAAGAAATTAATTGTGGTGTTCTAATCTTGAGGAAGACAAGTCCGCTTGTCGAAACGTCGGCTTGACACAACCCCTGTTTACCGACTTTTCATCTATAATATTCTTGAATTTCGGCCTCTGAACCTCTTACATTGTGCATGTAGGTGCATTGGTGTTTCGCTGCAGCTTATTATACAGTATTTTATCTAGCCCTTGAACTCAGTGCCCTAAGAGGAGCTGTGCCAAAATATGGAAACATGCTCATGCATCTTACAACTTCTTTTGTGTGCTCTGCGTGTTTATGTGATCCCTTTAATTTAGGTCGAATTGCTATGTTAAAAGGCGCTCACCCCCATCTCGATCTTGTGTGCTATTTTTTTTTTTGCCCTCATTCTCTTACAAATTTACCCCGCCCCCAATGTTACTGCAGGGCAATGGAACGCTCCTGGCTTCGATACATGGCGGCAGCATGCATGCTCAAGATATGCTGCTGCCCACCCTATGCAGATGTGCTTAGCCATGAGCAGTTTCAGAAGCTTGCCCTTGTGCTTCAGGTAAGTGCTGAATAAGCATATGCATTATCTGGCTTGCTTCTGAGATCAGAAGGTTGTGTTCTCATGCTCGCAACATGAGATACTTGCTCATCTATGTTTCCGCACGGTGGCAGCAGGACAGCGTGTGTATGTGCCTTCAAAAAGTGTGCAAACCACGCACACCTCACAATTTCAATTTCATCACCATTGGGCCTACTCGTAGCCAATTGTGTGTTGCAAGGCAGTTGATTACACTAAAGTCTCATTATAAAGTTGAATCTTACTTGAAGATAAGCTCGTTATATATGAAAGTTTGTTACAAAGGTATATTTCTAGCACTATCTGTAGCAAGACTATCCTTCAGTTACTTCGTTAAAACTGAGTTCCGAGTTTGTTATATCGAGGTTTGAGTGTACTTCTATGCGAGCTATTAGGCTACAGTAGCAACGCTTTTCATCTTTGGAAACTTTCATGGCATTTCTCGCGATGCGTACCTTGCACTGAATGAAACAAAATGGCAGTTTGCCGCAACTCATGTCATGCCAACGGATAGCAACAGGGAGTCCTGGAGTTTTTGCATAGCACATCTACAAATTACGTTGTGTTACTTGAGTTTTGGTGATAGCGAGTGCCACTTCTGTGAACTCCAATACACATTAGGGCAAATTACCCAAAAAATTAGTGCATTGCCTTATATATGTATTTCAAATTTAACGTGTTGTCTAATTATCTACACACTTGCCTAGGCCTGATGTTGTGTTATAGAGTTGAACTGACCCACTTGGATTTCATTCAAGTGTATCATTGACACAGTATGCAGATGCCAACAGAATAAAATAGAGCACGCAAAAGTAGGGATGGGCAAATAGTTAGTTTTAGGTTCAAAGCAAATCGTAACTTTGTCAAATTATTTCGCATCACATAGTTCAAATAGTGTTATTGCATCTTATTCTAAGAATAATAAAAGCATTTTTGTCATGACTGTACCCACTTGCACTACATTTTTAAGAATTGGAACTAGTTATGTGCAAGTGTCAATTTTTTCAATTCGAAGTGATATAGAAGCAATTTTGAATAGTGGCAAGATTTGAATAGTAAAAGGGCACATGCTATAAGTGGCAAAATATATTGTGTTTTAAAATTTGCTATACTTGTAGCCTATAAGCCCATCTCTTCTCTTTAACAATCTTTTAAACTTTCGAATGAATAATCGATGTGGGGGTAATATGTTTAACATTGAAGTGGGTCTTCACGACAGTGCGGATACTTCCTGGATGGATGTTTTCATGGCACAGCACATGCACACTGCAGTTAAGTCATCTTTACAAGAGTTACATGTGGCATTGTATACATTTATTTATTCATTTTGAATACAGTAAAAGCTCCATAATTTGAACTTGAAAGAGACTACAAAATTGTTTGAATTAAGCAGAGTTCGAGCTTGTGGGCAGGCGCTAGAACATATTATAAATTAATGAACAGACATCAATTACGCCACACTCTGCAGTGAAAAGCCATCTTTAAACTCATTCCCGCAAATTTAGTGAAACTGCACGTTTGTGGCAGGTAACTTTGTAAAGTAAGTTCATGCTTTAACAGCAAATTGAATTTATGGATCAATCAGTGGTACGTCAGAAACAAGCAGCAACTTGCATTCACGTAAGCAGAGAGCCTTGATGCCAAAATATACAAAGGTATTCATGCTCCGAAACACGTTCCTTTACATGGCAAACTTGTTTCACCAAATCATCTAAAAAGCCCGTGTACATAAATATAATTTGGCCTCTGCATTGCCTCATTCTTCATAAGACAACTATGAAACACCACCCTTCCAATGTTTCATTAACCTAGCCAAAAGAAACACTTTGTTGCTATATCGTGAAAATATGCTTAGGAATATTCCACTTTTTTTCTGCAATTTCACTTCGAATTGTTAGAAAAATATTCTGGAAGTCTTCGAGAAATATTAGAAGAACATTTCATTCAATTCACACTCATTCTTCAATATTCAAATTCGCTTCGCACTCAGAATTTCACTAGTTGCGCAGCTCTAGCGATTTGTGATCATTCTGGGTCGATTTCTACAAGATAAAAGCCAAGAGGCTTCCATTTCAAATTACAAATATAGATATCAGTGCGTTTGAATTATCTGGAAGTTTCTCCCACAGAAATATATAGGTCTGTGCCGAAACCAGGGTGTCAGTTTGAATTAACGAGCTTTTACTATATGTTGAAATTTTGAACAGTTCAAATTTAAATTCTGTAGTATCCAAACAAGCATAGTAGAAAAAATTACACCATCTGCTGCTAAAGGGAACCATGCGTAGATGCGAAGCAGCGGCTTTTAACGCTTACACTGGCAGAAAGATTGATGCTGACACTCATTGCGGCGTTGTGCTGGAGAGAAACCTGGGGATGCGCAAAGCGCGCAGTGATAAATCAGTGTTTCCTACTGAAACATGCCAATCGCTGATAATGGGCAGTGAGAGACAGCAGGCTCTGATTGGATGCAGAGACCCGCAGTCCGCTTTTAGTTGTTGCACACACTGTGAGTTTTTATTGTTCAGCAGGGCACTGGAGAAATCTCCCACCGGCACTACCTCGGAAGTCAAGATCCAGGGCATATATATAGGGGGTTTCCAGTAAACAATTGTGCAGGGCGAGCAGTCTCTCTCTCTCCTTTTTTTTTTTTTTAATCAAGAAACTTGCTAGCAGATACTGTCGGCGTTAGCATTGCGAAGTGAGAGAGGGGGAAGGGACGCACATGCGCAATGCGAGTGCAAACACCACTGGGAGGGGTGCCTAGAAGACAACCCTCGCAGTTATTTTATGTAAACTAAAATGTTTGCTCACGTTTCCGAAGCCCACTGCTTGCCTCCTAATGTGCATGGTCCGTTACTGTCTAGGACGAGTGCCCGGAGGTGCGCGAGCAGTTTGGCCAGAAGTTGCACAAGCATCTGCTGGCCATGCGGCTACCGCTTCAGTTCCTGGCCATCTTCGCCCTGGGCGGCGTCGAGAAGCGGCGGCCCCTGCGCAACCAGCTGCGTCAGTGGCTCCTGTCGTGCATCAACAAGCGGCGGGATTTCCTGAAGCAGCACACCATCAACTCCATGAAACTGATCACCATCCTGCCCGACTATGTGATCCCCTATGCAGTCCATCTGCTTGCCCACGACCCTTGCTTGCCAAAGTATGACGACGTTCCGGGACTTGTACAGATCAAGGAGTGAGTGCACAATGCCTCTGGCACCCGTCTCAAGGATGCATCCTTACCGCCCTGCTTTTCAGTCTTGTTTTGGCAGACTGGATGCCTTCAGGTGGTACGCGAGGGTTTATTGGTCAGCTGCTAGCTCGAAGCAGATCACATGCTACGCACTCTCAAAAAGAAAAGTGCTCGACATTCGCCGCCATGGCCTGCTGACTAATACTTCTGGATTACGCGCAAAGAAACACCCGATAAAGTGGACATGAGTGCAACTGTCACTGTAGCTTAATTGATACAGCATTGCATGCTTTATCAAAGTTTGCAGGTTCAGTTCCTACAGGCTACAGGTCTTCTTATTTGCATTAATTACTTCACACCATAATTACTACAATACAGTTAAAATACTGAAATAAACGTTTCCTATGCATTCCTTGGCTGTACTGTTTTCATCAAGGTTGTGCCTAACGAACAAATAAAAACAAGTCTCTAAGTTCCCCTTCCTGTGCGGCTTTCTCGTAGGTGGATGCAAAACTCGCTGGTGCTAGCTGAGACGAAAGAGGAGAGAAAGTGCTTGTAGCGTGTGACTAATCTCTTTAATCCTGTTCATACTTACGGGCTCTAAAAGTTTTTGTAAGGCAGTGAACATTCATTATGAGGTCATTCAATGATAACGTGAAAAAGGGTCACCGGGCACCACAATGCAGCTAGGTCACCTTGAAGTGTCACTTCGCTGCACTGTGGATTATCCCTGCATATGTGCTTCCACTACATAGTGGTGCCACATTGCAGTAAAACCACCTGTGCAGGTGGGTTGGTTACATGCGAAATATAATTGAGCCGCGATTCGACGAAGTCAGGGGTACCCGCAAATTAGTTAAATCGGAAGCTGCGTAAAATATAAAACAGAATTTTTCGGTCTTTCTAAAATTTAAAATTGTATCACAGAAACTCAAAAGCTACTATGTCAGTGTATTTGCTATTAACTCTGACCGTTTCACCCGCATGCTTTTTTCATCAGGCAAAACTGACCCAAAGCATAGAAAGAAATGTTCAGTCTGTCGTTTCGTGCAGATTTAGTTTGTAAGTACCAAAACGAGAATCCCTCTGCTGCGTCAGTTCTACCGCTCCTGCACTGACAGCACAATTCCACACGTTATAGATGTCATAAATTCCTAAAAATGTGGTTTTTTTTTTCTCCTCTTTCTCTCTGTCTCTTTTTTTTTTTTTTTTTTCTCTAGAATGCCTTGTTAAATCAGGTTTGGTGGTGAAGTTTGCTTCGTTATTTTACATTTGTGAAATTGTTAAGCCTATGGGTAACTGCAGGGGGAATCCACATCTGTTCCCTAAATTAGGAAATTCGTAGAATAGAGTTTCAACTGTACATCTATTTGTCTGCTTGTTTATTCGTTGCAACTACTTAGAAGTATAAAAATTTTCATTTCCGAAGTGTGATTTCAGCTTAGGGGCATGTTGTTTGTTTATCTGTGTGCAGGTGTCTCTGGTTTTTGATGGAGCCACTAATTACCAAGAACGAAGGCTACAGCTTCAGTTTCTTCAAGAGGCTTATCGAGAACATCAAGCAGACCCGCGACAACCAGTGTCCCAACGACAAACAGGCACAGCTAGTAAGTGCTGCCTGTCAGATTCCTAAAGCCAAGCCTTAAACAATCTCCGCCTCTTTTACATGCTAAATATTTTGCACAACTTAGGCAATGTAAATGAAAACAAAGGTTGGGTTAGAAGGGAGGTGAAGATGACCCCTACCTTTGTTTTCATTTCCTTTAAGTTGTGCTCAACACTGAATGTCGCGAGATACCAACTCACCCAAACTGCTACTCTGCTTCTTTGTCTTTGCTGTTGCAGAAACTGTATGCAGTGTGTGACCTGGCCCTTGGGCTGGTAATGACCAAGACCACCAGTTTTGTGCTAAAGGACTTCCCTCAGGAGCCTGTGCTGCCATCCAAGTGGTACACCCTGCCAGACAAGGTGAGAATGACTCTGTAATGATGCGCAATGAACTGGAACTCACTTGTTAGTAGCATAGTATAGTTTTATTTTCATTTCAGATTAAAAACTAGAGCTATGTCAATAGCAATATTGTGGGTATAAAGCGAACTTGAATATTGAAGTGTGAGAGTGAATCGAATATTATTAGAGTATTCTTCAAATACTTCGAAGGAAAATGGTGGGGGGTGGGGGGGGTGGAAAGGATATTGCTAAGCATGTTTTTATAAGTTAGTGTTTCTTTTGGCTTGGTTGATGAAGCACTGGCAGGGAGGTGATCTATAGTTGTCTCATCAAGAATGAGGCAATGCAGAGGCTGAATTGCTACTGTTAAAGGGAACATCGAAGCACGTGGCAGCCACTGGGCGCCACAGTCGGCCAGCGGCTGCAACAGGTTTTGCTCAGGCGCACTGAAAGTGGTGCTCTTCTGTTTTTCGTGATGTCTGCAGCGCTTCAAATCGTCGTGAAGTACACTGTTCATGCAATGAAAGGAACAGCGCATGTGGTGCGTGCTGCGTGTTCGCAAAACCTAACGCAGCCTCCAGCTGGCAATGGCGGCGAGCAGCCGCCACGCACTCTGATGTTCCCTTGAACAGTGGACCCCCGTGTACAGGATTTGTTGCAACCAAAATGTTCCCAACAACACTTCAAACAGGAAAGGCAGTGGTTAAATTCTTGCGAGGTATAAGGCAAAGATAGTATTTCTTCTTTCGACTTCTGCAGAAGCCCAACTGATGTGGCTGACAAGGGTGTGCTCCGTCCTAGTCTGGAGCTCCAAATTTGCTTCGTAGGTGTCAATATATACAAACATCTGAAAATTTTGAAGGCTAAGGGTATTCGTCGTTTGATTTTTCTGACTTGCTTGAATTTCTTTCGCCAAAACAGTATTAATTGAGCCCTTGCTACATCTGTGATCCATATGTTGGAAGCAGCGTTTTCTCGAATCAGTACATTTGCAACTGTAGCAGATTCTGAAAGGTGACCTTGTGGTAGTGTAAAAGTGTGATGGCGTGAAGCTTATTGCAATTCTGAAAGAGCCACTATCAATCAGACTATGACTGTATTTGTCTTCGGGATGTTTGAGTAGTTTGAATAGTAAAATTTCAGTGTGAATTGAATCAAATAGGCAAACACTATTAGAAAAATATATGAAACTTTGAAAATTTGCACACCCCAATGAAAAACTTCAAACACTGACAGGCTCCTGTATGCCTTCACCGAGGATGACACAAAGCTGAAAGCAAAAGTCTTTTTCTTCTAATTCGGTTGCATTGATTCACCCGCACCTGAAAGCTTTCTACACCTAGCGTGATTTGGCACTGCCTTAGGGACGCGAGACATTAGAAGCCTTCAGCACCGCATGTGCCGCCGCGCCGCGTTGGTCCAACGGAAGGAAGAAATGTTGTAGGCCCGTGTGCTCAGATTTTGCTGCACGTTAAAGAACCCCAGGTGGTCGAAATTTCCGGAGCCCTTCACTACGGCGTCTCTCATAATCATATGGTGGTTTTGGGACGTTAAACCCCACATATCAATCACCTCATGTGCCTCGGAAAGTTGGCCACCTGTGGCCAGGGGACATTGCGGGGACACCTCAAATTTTGACGATATCGGATGTCATTGTACGATGATAATCCTTTGCATCACCAGTGTTGGCACTAATGGTTACTTTTGTACTTAATGAGGCATCTGAAGCTTTCACATTATTCAGGGTTGTTGTCCGAAACAGATACTTATATGGATTGACCTTGCAGCTGGCAAAACACTGTTATTTGTTTTATACTGTGCAAAGCAGAGCAGATTGACTAAGAATGTTTTCACATTGCAAACTACGCTGCCAACAACGTGAACGTAAAACGTGAAATTTTCGTAATGTTCGGCAGCCATTTTACCATTGAATTTGTTGTTTTGCTAAGAACAAGACAGGGTCCTCGTTGAATATTTATCTGGCTTTTAACCTTGCTTTTTCTTGAGGCATTGTGATATTTGCTAAATGAAACTGCTTGGTTTTGTCACAAAAATTTGCGCAGGTGCAAGTGCCGAATATGAAAAGTTACTTGCCACCGGAGCTGGCTTTTTCAGCTCCAAAGGTATGTGCATAGCACATTGCATGTTTATATTGTTTACTTGCTAAGTGCTTTCTGGATTATCTGCTCAAGGTGTGTGCCTTATGTTACCTTGACATAATACAGTCGATCCCGGATATATCAAACTCGAATATATCGAATTATTCGCTATATCAAACTGTTGAGAAATCATCAGCAAAAGTATGGGAACGGTGCACCCGTATAGTAGCGAACTTCCGCACCGTGGGACATCCGCTTTATCGAACACTGCGCCGCGCCGAAATCTAGAAATTGCATCTTCTCGGCAAATATTGATCAATTTTCGGCCGCGTTCTAACAACTTCCAATCTCTTTGCGTGCGCAAGTGACGAAAAGGCGGCATCGCGTTGATCTAGTTCGTTGCGTGGTGCTTGTGAGTGCACCAGTATGTTTGATGGGCAATATGCAGGTTCTAACACATGGGCATAGTGTTTTTCAAAAAGACCGATTGCCGAGGACACCAAAATTAGAATGCAAAGTGACTCGGCGATCTCGTTGCGATGTTCGCATTCCCTTCCTTGTTCCCTTCCTTGTTTGTTACCACACAATGGCATGCAAGCCTGAAAAGCATGGCCTTCAAGATGTAGATGTGCAACCGCGTGATATATTCTTGTTTTCGATTTTAAAATGCATGTCTCGAAGGCTACACTTTCTAGCTTGTCACATCAAAAGCCGCTGAAAGCAGCGGCTGCCAGCTACAAAGCCACAAGTGACGTCAATATCGCCAACATGTCGATGGTGGGAACTTGGCGTTCTTTTGCGCATTCTGCTGGATTTGTGTACTGCTCAGCTCGGGAGTAGAACTGAACGTTGACCCCCACGCAGCGATAAAGATTATCACTGGTGCTTAGAGTAGCATCAATAAAACACTATCGTTAACTTTCCTTGCAGGCCAGGTGATCACTTCGGGTGCGTCACGACCACTGACAACAGCGTACGGTGCCTCGTTTAATTCTGCGACGTTGCGTTTCCGGGCACCATCTCAAACAGTGAGCGACTTCATCGGTGCAGATGACAATGTTTCTGACTGCATTGATGCTGAGATCATGGCTACCATTGCCAGTGCCGCGGTGTACCCTGTGCGGTTATGAATATGCCAACGCCTTCACTGCTGCCGCCTCGCCTGCGGTGGTCTAGTGGCTAAGGTACTCGGCTGCTGAACCGCAGGTTGCAGGAATCAAATCTCAGTTGCGGCAGGCTGCATTTTCGATGGAGGCGAAAAATCTGTAGGCTAGTGTGCTCAGATTTGAGTGCACTTTAAAGAACGCAAGGTGGTGGAAATTTTTGAAGTCCTCCACTACGGCATCTCTCATAATCATATGGTGGTTTTGGTACATTAAACCCCACATATCAATCAAATCAATTATTCGCTGCTGCCGCTAACCGAGCCTTTTGCCGCGCTACAAAGCTTGCATCGGCGTTCTGCATCAATCAATGCTGTTGTGCCAGGAGGAGCTGAATTCGCTCATTTGAAAAGCTGCAATGATGATGAGGATGACAAAAACTTGACAGCGTGCAAGAAGCAAGACAAGTTCATGGACTATTTTTATGCGAAATAAAGTGCGGTAACTTGCAGTTCACCCCTTCACTATACTTTGAGTGAATCGTTATGTTGGCACTTGTAACAATTTCTGAAGCCTGAAATTTTTAATTTAGGCCTTGAATACACATACTCTCAAACCTTACTATAATGAAACGGGATATAATGAAATAATGAATATTTATTTATTTATTTATTTAAAAATACTGCCAATCCCTTGTCGGGATTTTCGCAGAAAGGACATTGGGAAAACACACAATAAAAGCACGCAATAAAAACATCCGTAAGTTATACATCGTTTAGGATACGCGTTACATTGATGCTACCAAGTTCTCACAATTTCTAACAATCAAATTCAAACAAATTCTAACCAAATTCTAACAACAAAGTTCTAACAGTAATTGTACTATATCCAAATGATTACAGTGTGGAAGAGTCAAAATAACACAGTCTAAAACAATGGATTTTGCAAAGATGACCACAATAACGCAATATTAGGGTTCCAAACGCAAATGTTCTTCAACAAGACGTAAATATAACAAAGTAAATGAAATTCCCCTTGAAAGCTGCCTTGAAAACCATACATTTTAAACCTCGTTGTAGCGAAGTAAAATTGACCGGTAAATGGATTTAACAAACTAAATTAGTCCATTAAATATATAAAAAAAAATGACCGTAGTGTGTTAAGTATATCGTTTTTTGCAGAGATTGTCGCTCGTTCGGCGCGGCTGTTTTAAAACTCCCGCACCGACTTTACAGACACGCCACGCGCGGCCGGTAGAGAAGTGGTTATAAGAGGGAAAAGAAGAGAAAAGTGAGCCCCGTAACTGTCTGCATCACGGTGTGACACCTCAACAGTAGCTCACAAGGGATGGGGTGAGGAGGGATTAAAAGGATAGGATTAAATGTAGAGAGAGAGAGAGAGAGAGAGATGCACTGGGACAGCAAGCGAGAACATATGAGGGGATAGGAGAGATAGGAAAGATGGAAACACTGTCACAGGAGCGATTTCCCTCTCACTACGGCAACGACTGCGTCTCCGCTGCTATCGTAGCTGCTACCCTCTGCACCAAGAAAGGAGGACTCTCCGCGACAGCTTTTTTTTTTTCCCTCTCTGTGCGCATCCTTGAAAGGAGAAGGGTCTGTTCGTGCAGAGACGAAACAGGGAGAAGCGTGGCACAGGCGCGTCGTAGATCGGCATTTGAGAGAGGGCAAAAAATCTGCCATAGTCTTTCCTTTTTTCTTCTTTTCCTTCACGTGCAGTGTTGAGAGGTGCCGCCGCGGGATTGGGCATGGTGCTGAGAACATTTTCAGAGTCAGGTATGTTCGAATTAACTGTCGCAAGTGCTTGCGCATTCAAATTACAGGGTGTTTTCGCCCATTGAATACACATAGCTTTGACGGGACCCATCGTGAGTTCGAATTACCCGAAAGTTCAAATTAATGAGAGTCTACTGAGCTTTATTTTTTGTGGTCGCATAGTGGTACTTCGGGCCTCGAGGCGGTTTCCTTCTTTGCATGCTTATAGGTGTGCGCCCATCTGAGCGTACATTGCCACAAACTGTTATAATCGATACAACAAAATAATTATAGGGCTCCCCTTTAATTTTGTTATAACGAGGTTTGAGTGTATTTAAATTTTGAATTATTGATATATCGAACTATTTCCTGGTACCCTTAGAGTTCAATATATCTGGATCGACTGTATGTGAATAAAGAAAGGCCTCTTTTTTATTTAAGTCATCATGGAGCGTCACCAATGGGAAGTTTCATGAGACAAACGTTATCACAAATTGAGTTTCGTAGGGAAGTAGCTTGCGTGTGCAACCTGTGTAAATAAATTCACTGCGTTAGCTTGTACTGATTTCATACTTTCCTTCACAAAGTGCACTTAATGTACTCTCCATCTCCTTACCGCTCACACCATCTGCACAAATAAATATGTGCACTGCGTCATGGTTTATTGGTGGGTCACAGCCTGTGTTCCACCTATGGGGCTGCAAAGTTACGGGCACTTATCTGCTTGCAACTGCAATAACTTTGTGGCACTTTAACTCAGAGGTAGGGCTTTTGTTGCTCGAGGATACACACACACCGAAGAATACTTGTCTATGACCCACTGGTGACCCAGGAGGCACTATAAAAAATGTTTGTGTGCGGCGTCACCCTACCGTTGACCCACGTGAGAGTTCCCTCCATCTTGTACTGCCATCTGAAGTTCGCAACTGCAACTAATATATATTGTCTATTGCATTGTAAATGAGGTGGTGCGCACTGTTTCTAAGGAGCCAAGTGGTGGCACGTTCCTCCGATGTGTTGCTTTCGAACTTTTCTTGTACCTTGTAAAAAAAAAAAAAGACTTGCTGTTCAAAATGTATGATTTTTTCTGCTGACTCAAAAAAAAAATGTGCCAAACGCTCGCTGCAAACTTGGCAGTGCCATCTCGGACGGGAAAGAAAGATGCGTAGCTGCGTGTCTCACTGGTGGCTCACGACAGACGCTCCTGGGTGATATACCCCAAGGCCCACTGGACGGTGGCCTCCACACCTAAAACCAGACTGGAAAAAGCATGCCACAGTGAACGCGTTAACCAACTGTCATATTTAAACTTCACGCACTTAGCTCATCACGGTGTGGCACCAATCACCCTGATCTGAAGCATGAATCCTAACCAATTTGGCCTGTGATGCCCTAACATAGTTGAACATTCTTACTTAAAATATTGTAGCACTACATTTGACAAGCCCAATACAAAGCTGTACATGACAGGACGAGTGCCCATCCTGTCATGTACTTCTCTGTCTCGTCCTCTTCAAACTTAGTGTGACGTTATTTTAAGTACGGATGTGCCATCAGCTAGCCCCACAACGGGTTTTGTTAGCTGTTGGAAGATATGAGAAAATTAGAACTTGTTGCCTGTGTAGTGTTAATCTACAGAAAGTGAATGAAATGCTATTTGTGTGAAAATTTTGTAATTAGTACTTATTCTCTAGAATAATTTGTAGCTAGAAACTCACTTCATTGCATCAAAAACACTGTCATAGATTGTCCTGTTTTCCTGCTTAAATTGAAATATTGAGGTACAAAACACAATGTAGCAGAAGCAAGGAGCTGGTCATTACTAAGTTATCACGGGGGTCTTTTGGCTATTCACATTTCTCTGGGGGCCTTTGCAGAACACCGGTGTGGACCTGGCAACCTTTGGACGGACACGTCCACGGGGAGCTCTGCGCAAAGTATCGCGGAGGCCGCGGCCGGTGGCCGGTGGAAATGTACAGATGGTGCAAGTAGCCGAGATAGCACAGGTTGACGAGGAAGAAGTAGTCGACGATGTCATGGCTGTTGAAGAGGAGCCTTCCCCAGGGTCAGTTTCTGTTTTTAGCTGAAGCACCTCGACAAGCCCAGCTCATTCATTACAGGGGGCAACATTTCTAGGATATAGTAAACTGATTCCTCTTAGTAAAGCTGCATGAAAATGCTAACAGTTGCCTACAGGCACAATGTATGCATTCATTTGACATGCAGACTAGGCGATCTTGAGAGCTCCCATTGCTGCAGTATCGCATTGTTAGGCAGAGATTAATCTAAAGGAATTGTGCGGGCACCACTGGCATTGCTCATGCAGTATCGAGGCCAGCAGTGCAGAGGAGGGCAGCAACAGCCCCTCGTCGGCACAAGTCGTCAACCTCCGTGCCTTGCGGCCCACCCGGCGGGACCGTGCGGCTTTATCAGAGCAGCAACCATCATCAGATTCCAACCAGTCCAAACGGTCAGTCTCTGTTTTCTCTCCTTCATTCTTAAACTCTAGCTCTTTCCGCATTTTTCTCTCTTTGTCTGTTTTAATTTTGTAAATAAATTTACTAAATGTCCTTGTGAGTATATACAATTCTCTGTCTCCTCTTGTAGAGAAGCACCAGGTGTAATTCTTATACAAGAGGGAAGCAGCTAGAAAAAGTCATCCAGTTGTTCCTATGTTGCTTCAGTTGTACCTGCTTCAAAGCCCTAGGCCATTTTTAATTTGAGCTCTGATGCTGTATGCCAGAAAGAGTATGTTTTCACAATGTTGACTTAAACATGAGGGCTGTATCATTAATGGGGTAGAGCAGGAGTCTCAAACTTATCTTAGCTTGCAGGCCCCAGTCACGAAATGGTCTCCCACAAGGACCAGTACAGTGCAGAAAGTACTAGGAGAGATTCGTCAACAGAACGCCAAACATACGGACACACATAGCACGTGCACTGACACAGATGTGTGTGTTATATATATACACACAAACACAGTAGACTCGATTAAACAGAACCTGAAGGAACCAGGAAAGTGTGTTCCATTCAACAGCAGGATGTTCCTTTTACTGAGAGGTGTACTGGGTCGCAGCATTCAAGTGTGAAACCAATGATTTCAGAGGCACTTGTTTCATTTAAGCAGCAGTTCTGTTTAACTATTTCGGGACCGCCCGAAAAAGGGATGAAAAAAAGAGGTGTGGGTAAACATTTTTTATTATATGAAACAAAAGTACTACACTACTTTATCATACACCAAAGTGCAGGTTATCGAATGGTTTTTAACATACAAAACAAATGTTTTACCTAAACATTGCACACAACAAGTGAAAAAATCTGAAAGTAAGAACTTGGAGATAAAAAACACAAAAAATTTTAAAAAAGTGTAAACACAGAAATTTTCAACAAAAATAAAATTATTTGAGAATATACAAAATGTGGCAAAATGCTTTCTTTTTTGATCGTAAAAGTTTGGTGTGGCTAGGAGTAACGGTTTTTTTTGTGTGAGCCCTTTGGCACTAGGTACCAGCACTTGCACACGTGCCTAGGTTGGCATTGCACGACGCGTGTGCCACCCGCCGAAGCAGTTCCGGGCTGAGGTGAAACACAGGTGAACTTGGCACGTGTCACAAAAAACGTTTGCTTTGAGCTCGACTTTGGTGCGTTCGTAGCACAACTTGTTCTTACGTTTTTGGACTTTTTGTGGTTTGTGGTCCGCATGTTTTGGAGTGGGTGGTGGAGGAGATCGAGCTTCTTTGCCATCAAAGCCAAAAATCTGCTCAAGAAGTTCTTCTCTGAAGGCCAGATGATCATACCCGGCTTTTCGACTGAGCTCAGGGATCTCCGGGTGTGATGCACGATGTGCTTGAAAAAGCACAAAACTGTTCATGCAGGCAATGTCGATGCAATGAAAAAATAACGTCTTCCACCACCGCACACTTCGCATCAAGACGTACCGTATTTACACGATTGTAAGACGACCCTTTTTTTTTTTTCAAATTTGACAATCCAATGTTGGAGGGTCGTCTTAGAATCGAAATCGAACCATGTACCTTAGAATCGAAATCGAACCATGTATTGTCATCTCGAATAGTTTCCCGCTCAACCCAAAGCGCATAGTTTTCCGCGTGCTTATACAAAAGCTTTTCTTTTTTTAGCATCTACTACGCGCATTACGAGTGCCTTTATAACGAGCGCACGGCTCTTGAGGGAGCACCGGTAATCGATGGAACAGCCGCCGTAGGGGGGTATTGGTAGTTGACGGAAGAGCTCCTTTTTGTGATACAATTTTCTAAGCGGGCGCGTCGCCGCGTGCTCCTGTCGCTTGTGTCCACGACCGGCTCTCTCGAGTCACTTCTGTCTGACATGAGTGCCGTGACATGAGGACGAAAGTTCGGAATCGGTGAATGTGTGGTGCGGAAGTGGCGGCTTCAGCGCGAGGAAATTTTCTCATGCGACTCCAAGCGCCGTGGCTTTCGCGGGCCGAAGTCTGGCCGCTTTCCGGAACTAGAGGCGAAGCTTGCGGCCTACGTGACTGACCTACGCGATCGATCGTTGTTGGTCGCGTAGTTTTTTTTTTTGTGTGTGTGTGTGATGCGATTTTGGGGGGGTCGTCTTACATTCGAGTCGTCTTACAATCGTGTAAATACGGTAGTAGTAACCAATCATTTGATCTAACTTATCTACTCCCAGCATTCCAGAGTTGTATTCGTCAATCAGCAATGGCTTGGGCACTGATACTTCAGTCCAGGTGTTACCACTCTGCACTCGTCTTTTTGCAACAACTTTCTTGTTGGCAGTGTGGATGGTGCTGATCATATTTACAACGCGCCGATCTTTCCACTGAAGGTAAAGGATGTTACCATCTCGCATCCATCGAATGTCCCCACGTTTGGCTTTTTTTTCCCAACGTGGCTCCTTCAGTTCTTTTGGGAAATCCTCGGCGATCTTTGCACGTTGTTTCACAAGCCAATGTTTTATGGTCAAGGAGGTAATCAGAGGTGCGTCGATGTGTAAAAAATGTCCATAAAAATTTTGTATCCCTGATCAAAGTATGAGGAACACAGATCGCACACTACATCAAAAGCCAAGCCATGAGGCCCCGGCTGCACACGGCGGCCAGTGTAGACACTGAACTGCATAGTGTATCCCGTGTCAGGGTCAGCTAGCACCCACAGCTTGTATCCCCATTTAGTCACCTTATCTTTTAGGTATTGACGAATTCCAGACCTCCCTTTTGATCTTACCATGCGCTCGTCCACAGAGAGATCTCGATTGGGCTGGAAGAGCTGTGCTGACACTTGGTTGATGTGCTCAAGAAGCCACCACATGTATCGCAGCCTTCCTTTTGACTGTTGGTTCGGATCATCCAAGTCCGCAATTTGGAGGAGCGCTAGCAAAGCAATAAATCGCTTTCGGGGCATGATGCGTCGTGCAAGGAGACCACTATAAAGACTTCCTACGTTCCAGTAAAGTTTAAGTCTTGGAACCTTCACAATCCCCATGTAAATCACCAGCCCAATGAACTTCAGCAGTTCACTGGGGTTGACTTCCTCCCACGAACCATCTGGCCGAGAGTGCGTCGGTTTTTCAAGAATGCGGGTCCACGCATACTTATTTGTGTTTTCGCAAATCATTGCAACAACTTCCGCAGAAAAAAAACAGAAGAAAGAAATCCAGGGCAGTCAAAAACTTCTTCGTCTCGCCCGCTTCTCAGGGCCATGGCGACGTCATCGCCCAGGTAGACACCGGGCTGTCTTCTTGGCGAAAACTCAATCCGCTTCTGCACTGGTGGCAGGAGATCACCACCATAGGTGGTTGACACCCTAGCGAACAGATATAAATCAGCGAGAACATATACCGAGTTCACATAGCTATTTGAGAGCCAACTGAAAGCGAAACCAACACTCGCCTTCCAGCCCCGCTTGAAGTTCTCGGCTGATCATCCCCTGAATCCTCACTTAAGGTAAAATCTGAGCTCGTAACTTCACATTCCGAGTCATCACTGCCGCTTTCATCGCTAAAATCTACTGTGGAAGCCGAAGATACGCGAGGCGGAAGCGTTTTTCTTATCGCGCTCGCGCGCGAGCAGGACGCCATGCTTTATTACTGTCGACGACGCTGCGCTGTCAAAAAACAATATCTGACGCGTCGCCGCCTGGCGATAAAAAAGCTAACTTCACAAAATAAAAAATTATAGTTGTCAAACTATCTCACAGATGGCGGCAGGTGTTCCATTGAGCAAAAACTTTTATTCTGGAGGCGCGCGAAAGCATCGATCACATGTGATCGACGGCCTATGGGCGTGGTCCTGAAAGAGTTAACAGATATTCGTTTACTATGCCTACCGTGTATACATACACACCAGGTGTCCCAGCTATATTTAGCCAAGGGTTAAAAAATACAATATTAGAGGCGGGCGAGTGAAATGAGTTGCATGTTGCTAGAAGTTGCATATTGTCGTCGCCACCAAAGGGGTGTCAGATTAGGCGCTGGTGGAAAGTCTCCGAGACCACGGTGACAATGATGTATCTTCGCAGGTCGACTTGTCACGCTCTTCCGTCTTGCGCCATGCCGCGAGTTCGTGGGACTGTAGTCTTTGTGATGAATCGATTAGCTCTGACAACACAACGGCACGTTGAATGCAATGCAATGAGTGTGATAGCAACAAGTTGTAATATTATACGAAGTAAAGCTGGCAGCCAACTCTTTTGGATTCGATATCGCAGAACTCCTATAAAACACTGGCTGAATTCAATCCAGCTGAGTGTGCGACAGGTCTACCGCATTGCCGACCGCATACATGTACGCACTGACACTTGCCGAGATGGCACGTGCGCCAGCAATCCTGACCTCGCCCATACAATCAAAGTCCACCTCGAGCGACCCCCCCTCTCTCCCCTCTTGAATTTTTTTCATGCCCGTTCAAGACAGGTGGTTTCCTTTCTAATTGAGCATTCAATGGCAGTTCTGGCAGGGGGGAGGTGTTATCGTATGTGCCCTCCAGGCAATGGAAATGGGCCGGCTCATTTGATTTCTGCTGCAGTAGCGCGCGATTTAACTCGCTCGTGAAAGTTACCGTACGATGTGCGCTAGAACATGTTATCAATTGTTACGGAACATGGGGGTGCCGGCAAGAACCCGCCGAGAGTGTCAATATATAATTGCTATCGCAATAATAACTTAGTTTTTTACTGCTAAATAAGTGTCTTGAGTTAGCTTTGTAATAACTTCTATAGTTTTTCATTTGTGCATTTATTTTTCGAATGTTTGTGCTGAACCTGTATATAACTAAATCCTTTTTATAACAATCTTCCTGGGAATTCGTCAGTTTCGTTATATTCAGGTTTAACTATAGTAGAGAATTAGAATACCGCACGCAAAGCTTGTGGGTGTTCTGGGCGTAGCGTTAGTGTTTGTCATGAAATGGCAGCCTGCAAAAAGTTAGCGTATGACGTCAACCTTCGGCTGATGGCTATTTAATACGGAATCGTCCGCAGTTGCCTTTTGACAAAAAAAAAAAAGTTTACCATCCATCCCAGTCTTAGGCACGTGAAAGGCCTAAGGCGTCTGGAGGGCTTTCAGCTGTTGTCGGCAGTAGACAACACAAAACTAGTCGACTTCAAGCGGCCTACCGGTAGGCCCTGTTCACGTTGTTTAGTTCATCGTTGTTTAGTGCATGATCAATCACTTTCAACTTGAAAACAGCCGTGTAGCTTCCACATCGCCTTTTAGCAAAACAACAAAATGGACTCAACGTACAACACACGCCGTAATGCGCACTTGCCACTATGGCTTGGCTAGGATTAGATTGGGGCTGTTAACATAATGGCTAAGAGATGGCGCCAGGCTGTTGTGCGCTATCATCATCTGTGGTTGGAAGGAGCAGAGGACATTACTGCGGCAATTTTGAGGGGTGCGAGAATTATGCGAGTGCAAAGGATTACGTGAGTAAATACGGTAATATAAGACGAAGACCGGCGTCTACAGGCTGGCGCAAGCCACAACCTTATATGCACTTGGCTGAAAGCATAGCCTTTCGGGATTGATTTCTGTGGCTCTGAGAAAGCCACTGTTAGAGGTGGGAATTGAGATGTCACCAGTTATTTTATTTGGTTAACAAGTGGCTCTGATGGGGACTGACTTGTAAGGCCTCCGCTGTAGTTGCAAGGGCATGACATGAAGTGCCCCAAGCTGTGACAGGACTGAGGTGTACCTAAGTATGCAGTTAATCATCTTTGTGGCACAGGTCACGCTTGGAGCCTGGACCCGGAGATGAGGCTGAGAACTCGTCTGACCAGCTCAGGTGAGCACTTTTTTTAACCTTGCTTTGTGCATAAAAGTAAGTAGGCTTAACAAAATGCTTAGTGTCAATGCTGCGCTTGCTCTTGTGTAACAGACGTGCTATGTATTGTCATATAAAATGTTCAATCCATCAGTGCAATTATTCTGAGGTTTAGTGTACATGGATACGTGGTGATAGCTGTGGAACAGTGGGCACATCTTGGATCGTTGCTTTAAATGCACTTAGAGCATATTTGGGCTGTATAAAAAAAAAGGAAGTTGTTCAACTGCGCCCTGGTGTTCTAGTAGTTATGGTGCTAGAGTGCTTACCCAAAAGTTGCAAGATCGAAACCCAACTGTGCCAGCTGAATTTCAATGAAGGTGCCATCCTAGGAGACCCATGTACTTATATTTAGATGCAATGTAACGAAACCTAGTAGGTCGAAATTTTTTTACCCTTTCACACGTCCTCCATAATCATATTGCTGTTTTGGAACGTAGCACCTGATCACTTATTGTTATGAAATGAAAAGGTTCAGTGTTTGGGTGCTTAGCAGGCAGTTATTGTTATGTAGGGGTGGAAGTTCTGCGCCAATTGAGCTATTCTGTGCAAAACCGACCTGCTGTGCCAGGCTGCGCATAAACGGCAATATCTGCAATATTTGTCGATTATGTGTGTAAGTCGCCAAATTTAGTGGATTATTATTGATGAGATTGAGCGTTACTCTGCAAAGGATGCGGCCACATCTACATCCAGTGTTCAATCATGTCGTTTTTCGTTTCATTCATGGTGCTTGCTAGATCTCGCCGCAAACGCTGTGCAGGAAACTGCGGTTGGTGTCGTTGCGTTCATCGTTGGGGAATACCTGCGAAAGTGCAGAGGTAACACTGTCTCAGACTGAAGGCAATAAAACCGTAAAACGGCACGAAGTGTTTGAAGGAACCCAAAGTTTCGAAACCAACTTGGTTCCTTCCTCAGGGGAAACTGGAACTACATAGCAGTGGCGTCTTCAAAGCACTCGCAAGGCGGTTAATGACCCCCCTCTCTCTAGTTTTGCTGTTGAGCACTATCGGCGAGACGAAAAACCTACCGGCACGACTCAAACACCACGCCAATAACGTGCGGAAGCTCTACAAAGAGTGCATCGCAGTCACTGAACATGCTGAGACGTTGGACCACAGGATAAATTTTGAAGCAGCGGCCATCCTTGAAAGCAAGACTAACTGGAGGAGAAGGTTACTACTCGAGTCATGGCGTATACAGCGAATGGCCCAAAACATCAATCGCTCTCTCGCAACCATTCCTTCCAGTGTATACCCATAGACTGCGCTCCACGGAAAAACGAGAGAGGGCGGGGGGGGGGGGGGTCATTCACTTCCTCGCGAGCGCTTTGAAGATGCTGCTGCTACTTAGTCCCAGTTTTTCCTGAGAAAAAAATCAAGTCAATTCTGAAACATCGGGTTCCTACAAAAATTTTGGTTGGAGTTCTAATCACTTTCCCAGTTTTCATACCCGAGACAGACATCTGTCAAATGTTTACATTCAAGGCATGAAGTGTTACGGCTTTCCTGTCGTTCACTTATTGCTATGGTAATAAGGAGCTTTGGCATGCTCCTTTGCGGCGCTGCGCGCATGGCACATTCTATGGGTTGTCTGAATATCGTATTTTCTTGTGTATAACCCGCCCCTGAATATAACCGGCACCACCGACCGCAAATCGCGGGAGAAAAAAAAAAAAAGTACCCGCTTACTGTCACAAGGTCACCTCCCTTGCATTGCCGTGAAGTAGGCTTGGGCAAATATTAGAATGCTTCCAATATTCGAACGAATAGTTGAGTATTCAAATTCGCTTCGATTCGAATTTAAATTACTGAAAAATTTCGAAGTATTCGCAATGAACAAATGTATATTAGTCCACATTTTACTGCCTGTAAAGTGGTTTTACTGCAGTGTAGGATGCTAAACCGTGAAAACACTCGAAGAAAATCTGCTCCGCCGTGAAGCCTTCCTTCAAATTTAAAAGGGCCCTGCAACACTCATTGAGCATGGTCAGAAAATGCTGCCGATCGGTAGTCGATGCTACCGAGAACATGCGAGGCAAATATTATAGCGCAGCACGCAGCCTTCAATTTACAATAATTTTTCAAAGCTAAAAATTGCTCTTTTTTTTTTCTCAACAAATGACACTACAAGTTCAAAATCACTTGTCACAGCCATTGGCTGATTTGAGCATGGCCCACTCGTCGTTATCGGGGCCGCCGCTTGTCCACGAGTACGTGCGCGATCGCACTGAAAAGCGCGTATTCGATGAAAAGTAAAAGAGAGAGAAAAAGTGCTCAAGGTGACGAGGTGCGCGTGATGTTTTTTTTTTTTTTTTTTGCCTGTGCCATTCTTCTCTACTTAGCCTTCTAGCTTTTTCATCGGGACGAGAAGAGAGAATGCAATTGCAGCGTGCGGCAAACTTTTGAAGCTCCACTCGTACTGGACTGATACTAAAAATTTTGTGGGTGTAAATTTGTGAGGCAACAAGCATCTTTAATGGCTCCATGGCTTCTTGAAAAAGTGTTGCAGGGCTTCCTTTAAATGAACATGTCACCCTCAAATCAATTCATCATTTTATTAAGCTTAATGGCTTGTGATGACAACTTATATGCTCCAAGTATAAGAAATTTTATAGCCTTAAGTATTTACAGGTCATCACTCTCATTCTACCGAAAATCATATCCTACTACTACTCAAGATTGTTTCAACTTCCTTTGAACGAAAAAGAAAAGACATTTGCATGGAGCCCCTATCAATTCAAAAGAAATATTGTACAGGTTAGTTAGGTCATGATAAATACGTATTCTCTTTTTTTTATATGACATAGATACTATTCGAAATTATTCGACCAAAATCACTATTCGCTTCGAACCTAAAATTCACTATTCCCACAAGCCTAGCATGAAGGCATGCCGCTAAGCCAACTTGCGCACTGAAATTCCCCTATAACACACACGCCGACTTTAGCTCCATATTTTCTGTATATTTTGGTCATGTTAAACGCGAGAAAATATGCAAGTTCACTTGGTTTGCAGCCAGGTATGCCCGAGTTGGCGAGAGTGCATTGCATGCGCTTGCCGGGACCAAAGGACAGGTGTTAATCATCAGATCTTACCAGATTTTGTGGCCTATAGATTATAGATAAAATTTCACTACAACGAAACTCCACGACAACGAATTTTCTTCGCATGTCCCGTCAATGTCATTGTCGCGAGATTTGACTGTAATGGAAGTTCCACTGTATAACTTGTGCATTTCAGCATGTTCATGCAGCAGGCAAGGCTTGTGCAGTAATGCAAGTGAACATTTTCCGCATTTAAATAAAATAAAACAGTGGCTTGAACAGAGGATGGTTGTACAGTGCGCAGGCGGGGAATTCGATGGAGGAAGAGGCGCAGAGGTCTGAGTCGTGAGTGTCATCGTGGTCTTATGTGCAAAGGGACCACCACTGGGGCGGGGCAACTCTCTTGGCGCAGGCGGGGAACCTTGGGACCAGTGGCGAACGGCAACGAGAACACCAGCCCTAACAACGGCCAGCAGCCCCCGGAGAGTAACAGTTTGGTAGGCCAAACACAGTTCTTTTTTTTTTCTAGCATAATATTGTAATGAACACTACATGAAAATGCGTTGTTACTATTCATAGTGGCTTTTGGGGTCAAATATTTGGGGTTTTCTCTCTCTCTCTCTCTCTCTCTCTTTTCTTTTTTTTTTCAAGAAGAGCCGAATGCAGGAACTAAAGCTATGCTAAATTTCACGAGAATGTAAAACACACCTAAGCATCTTCAGCTGCTAGAACAGTTTTAATCAAAATGGGGCAGTTCCTTATTGTAAAATGAACTCGAAAAGGCAGTTTCTAATAAAATATGAGCCAGATATCCAACCATTTCAAACTTAGCTACATTCATTCAAGCTTAGCTACTCTTACCGAAGGACATGATGTTCATGGACAAAATTTTTGTATAAAAAGTTAGAGACTGACTTTCTTACTTCTTTCTGCGTCTTAGTGATTCTTTTTGAGTTTGGCATTACAGTATCATGTCCTTAATTTGTGCCAACATGGTATACTTCAAATAAAATACCCATGAAATGAAGATACTGGGCACCTATCCTCTAATAAGAAGTCGTTCGAAACGGCATGGCATAAAACAAACTGAAACAATTTGCAAGGCCTTCAATAGTATATGCCAAGAACAAGAAAACGCTGATGACAGTCCAGAATAGTGCGCCTTTTGCTAGGAAGGATGATTCGCTCTTCAAGTTCAGTAATCGCCATTACACCCATGCAATGAAGCACGGCACTGACGGAAACACAAGGGTGATATTAATTCTAACTCAAGTTATTGCAATGCTGTACATTCAAATTGCTTTATATTTATTTTGTGAGCTAATTCATGCCCAAATGAAATGTTCCAATCTATATGAAAAAATACAAACATTACTGTCAAATATTGGGCTATGTACATTTTAGCCACAATATAGATTTGTGGTATTTAGGGGAGAGGAACATACTGGCAAAACGTTGTTTGAGTAGGCCCGACTGTGTTGTCAGTAAGAAAATAAGTGCATTTTTCTCAGTGTCACTTGAAGTACATTTGGCTTTTTTAGAAAAAAAAAAAAAGGGCCTCATTTATACTAGGCACGTGCGGATAGTAAGCTTAGGTTCGAAGCGAATAGTGATTTGTTTAAATAATTTCAAACTGAATTAGAATGTTATATGTCACATGTTTATGAAGAGTAATAAGTATATTTGTCATGACCAAACAAACCTGCAGAATATGTTTTGAAACAAGGCTTGTGCAAATGTTATTTGCTGTTGTTCAAGAGAAGTGAAAGCAACTTTGAATAGTAGCAATATTTGGTTTTTGGTAGGATGATAGTGAAAACCTGTAAAATATATTATATTTTAAAATTTACTAAATGGGGCATATAAACCGGTACAACATGCTTTTAAGCTTTAGAAAATGATGAATTGATGTGAGGTAATATGTAGGTTTGTGCAAATATTCGAACGAGTATCACAGCACTCCAATTCGCTTCTATGCGAATTTAAATCATTGAAATTTCAAAGTACTCGAAATAGTAAAGGTAGTTTCACTGCAGTGAGGGGGTGCTATACTGTGAATACACTATGCAGGAAGAATCTACATTCACGTCACAATTCAAGGTTAAATGAGCATGTTATTATTACATCAATCCATTGTTCTAGTTATCTATCCATTGTTCTAAGTTCAAAAGCTTTTCATACCAACTTGTAAGCTCTAAGTATAGTAAATTTTTTAATTTAGCATATTTTATGGGTTAATCACTTGCATTCTACCGGAAGTCAAATCTTGTAACTATCTGAAGTTGCATAACAAAAAAGATTTATTTTTCTTACGTCTTGATTTAATTATGAAATATATATATATTGTGCATGTTAATTGGTTGGGTCAGTTAGTTGTGCAAGGTTAGCATAATATCACATATAAAGAAACATGAGCATATTTGTCATACAAACATGTTTCTTTATATGTGATATTATGCCATTCGTATTCACTTCAAAATTATTCGACGGAATCACTATTGGCTTCAAACCAAAAGTTTACTATTCGCACAACCCTAGTAATATGTTCATATAACCTTCAAGTCAGCTCCCCCTAAGTGTGTGTGTGTGTGTGTGTGTGTGTGTGTGTTTATATTGGTGTTTTTACAACATAACACTTCTCTACTGCAGTGAAGTCACCTGTATACGAGGAAAGGGTAGAGATTGTACACATGTAGATGCTTATTCAGTCCTTTAAAATACTTCAGGATTTCCCGCAACTTAAGTTCGTATCAGAGCGAATTCCAGCACTGTAATATTCTGTAGTGGGATTAAAACCCATAGTGGGCAGCGCACAAAAGGAAACACACAAGAGAAGGAAAGTAAATAGTAACGCGCAGCCCACCAACCAACCAGCAACCTCTCAACGCGAGCAAAAGCGTTTTGCAGTGATTCCCTATGTACATTCCATTTCACATAGATTAAAAAAAGTTGGGGGGCAGTATGGGGTTGACGTTGTTTTTTCAAGTGGGAAGCATGAAGACGTTGTCATTGGGTGCATTTAGATCACCTGTGGGATATGGCAGCTAGCAACATCACGGTATTCCGGTTATCTCTAACCTTTTGCAACAAGAAACGTACTTCTACATTCAAGTGTGATGAGGCTGTTGTGTCAGCCAGCAGAAGCATGCTCAAACCATCGCGACCGCTATGAGGAGCACAAGCCATAACTTACCAATGGCCCACAAAGCAGGGAATGTGTTAAGCAGTGAAATATTTGTGATAACTTGGGTTGGTACTTGCATGTATTGTCACCTGAATAAATCACATTTCGCTCTGTTCTTCTTCTTTTGTGCAGGCAACGAGGAGTACTCGTCTCAAGCAATGAGCAGCTGAGGTTAACGTAATGTACAATAAAGGCTTTTTTTTTTTGTCAGGAAAACCAAACTGTTGGCCAGTGTAAGAGTTTATTCGCTACAACTGTTTCCATCCTTTTGCCTTCCTTCAGGGCCTTTGCTGGAACACATCACTAATACAGAGTGGTTTACTCTTTTACAGCCATATACATTTTAAACAGGATGGCGTCAAAGGGGCCCTGCATTTTTCGGCGTGCTCAGGAAATGCTGCCGATCGGTAATCAAGGCTCTTGAGAACACGCAAGCCAAGCGTTATAGCACAGCAGGCAGCCCGGAGTTTACTACAGTAAAACCTCATTGATTCGAACTCAATTGTTTCGAAATCCTGCCTAATTCTAAGTATTTCCGTGGTCCCATTTTTTATAATGTAAGTCTGAGTGGATAATTTGGAAGCGGCAGTCAGCACCAGCTTGGTTAACTTGGAAAACTATGGGTGGCACATGCTGATTCCCAATCCCAATTTCGCCACAAATTCGCCAAAACGACAACCTTTAACAGCCTCAGGGCAATGCTACGTATGGATACTAATGAGTAGGGATACTAATGGGAAGCACCTTAGCTTCGCTACTTCCAGCACAAAAAAAGAGAGAGAGAGAGAGAAAACAGTCTCGTCAACTAAAATGTGCGCCTGCGGAAAACAAGATGTGCTTCACTGCAACATAGCGGTGATGTGCGGGCAGCATGCTTCTGGCAACAATGCGTCATAATTTACCCATTCCTTCTGGGATTATAAAGAAATTAATAAAGACAGTTTGGCGGAATGCACAATGTATGCAAACCTTGGATGGCCAGTTGCTCCTGCAATTTGCGCACTTGCACTGCTAATGGCGATTTTTTTAATAAGCAGTGAGGCTCATTGTTCCCTCGTGTTTGCGACAAAATTGGGACCAGGTACTGTTGGAAAACTTAACCTTTGGAGCCGCAAGCTAGCCAGCACAGCAAACGACCAGCCCTGAGTATTGCGAATAATTCCAAGTTTCTTGCATCCACCCTTTTGGAATGTTCTGTTAATTCGAAAACCCTCTTGATTGGAAGATTTCTCGCAGCTCCAGTGACTTCACATTCGCAAGTTTCACTGTATTAAATCTCTAAGTCAGCTAAAAATTATTCCCTTTCTAAAAATGATGCCATATACTACCATAGTACCATGCCATAGGTATCCGAGTTCATGGCCATTGGCTGATTTGATCATCACTAGCTGTATAGTTAACGAGGTCACCAGGTACCTGTGTTTGTGATCACGCTGAAAGTAAGCCGCGCATTCAAAGAAATTCTGTCAAGTCCATGAGGTGTGCATGATCTAAGTTTCCATTTTCTGTGCCATCCATCCCTGCTTAGCCTCTAGCGTGCTCGTTCGGGTGAGAGGAAGCATTTGCAGTGTGCAACGAATCTCTGGAACTCCTCTCATGCTTGAAGGATTCTTAATATATTTGCGTCGATCAGTTTGTGTAGCAATAAACCTTAAATTAATGAAGCCATTGAACAATTACTTGAAAAAGTGTTGCAGGGCCTCTTTAAAGAGCTATTAGCAACATGTCAAAGCATGCTCAGATGGACTTCAACTTTCTCGGGGAAGCATCTTCAAACAAAGCAAGGCGATTCGGCTGAAGAATAAATTGCCGTAAAATCCCGAGCAAGTGCCCCTTCTCTTTTTCGGGAGATTTGAAATGTGTGCCAATGACAGAGGAAGTGCAGCCCTCTTTCCTCGTGCTATATATGCTGTTTTTATTCGAAGCAAATAAAATTATTTATTAAGTGTATATTCAAGAAAGCACTTCATTAAAAGCACAAGTGTACATTCTTTATTCTTGGTGGCTGTTTTGCCACCAGCTTGAATTTTGATTCGTGACCAAGCAAACACCCTCCCTCCAAACCTCGTTAAGTTATGTTTTGCCACAGGGATACACCTGCTCGGAATTTTATGAAAGGAAAATTTAAGTTGGGATGGGAATCAAACCCATGTCTTTGGGTGCATGGTTAGCATTTCTACTCAATCATGACAGCTTGGTAATTCAAACTGAACGGAGGTCCTAGTGAACGAGCATGCACGCCAGCGCTTTCTAGCATTGTGGTTTGCACTGACATTGTTGAAGTTCCTAGCAAACTTCACGAGTGATGGAAACTGTGTTTATGCACGTTACGGCAAACATACGCCACCTTCCCATGATTTAGAAGTAAAAAGAGCCTGTGACGCAGAAAGTTTTGTGCCATTGGCAATAGTGCTATTGTTTTCCACTATTAGATGGGAAGCTTAAGGGTCGTCTAAGTTTTGGGACATTGACTAGCTTGGATGAAACTGTAGTATGTAGCACCACAATGACCAGCAGAAATGGTACCAGATTTTTCAGGAATTTAGCATGCATGCAGGCTTATGCGTACCAACCAGCCGGGGGGGGGCTTGCGCTTCCCTTGCCCCCCCCCCCCCCCCCCAAATGAGAAAAGTTGGCGGGGCTGAGCCCCCCCCCCCCCCCCCCCCATTTTCAACAGTGGTCGCTGTCAGCTGCACGCTGGGGAAAACAACAATTAAGGCAAAATTTTTCTTCGCCACTGTAATCACTCAATTATATTGTTACGAGAAAATGAGAATATTGCGAGGAAATGTAACAACATAGGGATGATTTTCCAACATTTCAGCAGTGACGATTTTCTATGAAGGTTCTTTGCGTCGCTTGCTGTAGCACCACTGCACAGAAGGCTAGTGTTGAACAGTAGCCCTATAATATTACATCACTTGTTCGTGTTCTTATTCTGCTGTGACTAGGCAATGCAGTTATAGATGGGAACGAACAAACCTTTTATAGACCTGTCAAAGCATTTGCTGTTTCAGGAAAATAATTTTTTTTTATCGAAAAGGATTAGCGTCTCCGCTGCTCTGTCAAAGCTGCTGTAAGCCGATGATTGCAACAATTTTTTTAATGTTTTAGTTTTGCTGTATTGGAAGCGCCAAGAAAGGTTTCCGCTTTAATCCCCGATAAATCTGATCAGCCTTGTTTACGGCAACTTGGAGCGATGGAGGCAGCTTGCAAAGCGGCGATGAATAAAGCAGTGAACTCGGGCTCAATTGGAAGCTGAAAGTAAGTAGATGGAAACTTTTAAAAAATACCTGTGGTTCCTCGAGGAGTGCTTTCACATTTAAAAACTAAATTCCTTGTGAGCTGTTCTTAGTCATTTCTAATTTTGTTCAATTATAAATATACTTACTGTTGAGGAGGCCGCTACTAACATAATTGTATTCATGCGGAAAGTTGTGAGGTAATGCATAAAAAGCGTCGTGCACAATATTCTTCCATGCATCAGGCATGACAAACATATACGTGTTGTCCCAGTGAATGCTGCTTAAAATTCACTGTCCTTTTTTTGCGATATTGAACAAGTGCTATGTGAATGAAAAATGATATGAAAGTGCGAGTATGTCAAAGAAGTTGTCTCTCTCTCTCTCTCTCTCTCTATATATATATATATATATATATATATATATACACACACACACACATACACCGGCTGACGTGTGCGGCAGGTTAGCCCCCTCACTTGTGAAAGAGTTGGTACGACACTGCATACAGGTATGTTTCCACTGCAAGCATTCAAATAAAGCATAGCAAAGGGAATGCTGCACAGGATTACTCTAGTGATGATTGTGGTCATGTCCTCGGTAGCCACCTTCTATAGTAGTGTACAAAAAAAACTTAGAAACAAGCTTACTGAATAATGCTTGTCACCAACTGTGTAGGTACAAATTTCAATACTAGCCCATTACCCATTATAATGTGGCATCTAGATTTGTGTATGTGTTACTTTACCTAGCTGCACTATTGTAAATATATTTCAGAATATTTTGGTAATTTAATAATGCTGAAGAGCAATACATTTGCAGCTGCGTAGTTTATTTCAAAGTATTTTGTACTGGTATTTCAAGCACACACCAAAGGAACATTCAATCCCATAGCAAGAGAGCACAATGTCAACCCACCAAAAACTGTAAGAACACTTCTTTTGTTCAGCATGAACGGACTTCAAAAAAGGACACTACAACTGCATTCACTAAACCTCAACCAGGCTTCCATACACATACTTGTCAAATGCCTTTCTGCCTTGCATCTTGGTGCAAATTGTCTTGCAAACCAATACAGATTTTCTGACAACAGACTCTTGTACCTCTTTTTGAATTTAACTAGGAAATCAATCTTGGGAATACAGTCTAAGTAATGAAACACTTTTCCAGGCATTTTATATTCTGATAATCTTCCCTTGAATGTTTAGGTACTTAAAACACTTCTAGGGCATTTTGTACAAGTCGAAGCAGGTGCAATTGCTCACAAGACGGAAGACGTCTGCCACTGGAAATGTGCCACTGCTGATAAGCAACACAGTGATGTATGTCAGCATATCTGCACTCAACAGACCTTTGGTGTACACTATCGAGGAGCAGTGCCTGTCAGTGAATATTGTGCAACTATATTTTCACATCTCCTTGCCCTTAATGTGTGCAAACATTACAATGGGAAAATGTCATGAAATGGAGGTGCACAAGGAATTTTCAGGTACACAATGTGGGCAATGCATTGAAAACCGCATAACGGGCTGCCTAGTCCTGGTGACGGTGCCTAATAAAGCATGTTGCCTATGCAACGAACTGAACAGTCTATAGGTAAATACACTAATCAAAGGTAGCGCTGACGAGATGTGATGGTCTGTACAGGAATCTAGATGATTTAATAGCCATGAAAGGCTCCAATTTTTGGATTTGCAAATGCTACACAAACCCTTAAGGCATGCAGGACATTTCTGCAGAAATGTTTAAAATGTTGAATGAAAAATTAAGTCGAACATACTTCATTGGCCTTTCCTCGACATGTTTCTTTTTGGCTGAAGTAGCTCTAGCAGTAATTTCCTGCCTGTCGATGTTTTTTAAGCTATGCACTTGTAGTGTCAAAAGAGGATGTGGAGGGTGAAGAAAGGAGTGAGAGGTGGCTTGCTTAAAAGTTGGAGAGATGCTTGTAACACTCGAACCTTATAACGACAAAGTTGCAT